ATGGAGAGCTCTCATTAGGATAGCTTTGGCATTCCTGCTCTGCTAAGTTGACGTTGTAGGGGCCTCTTCTCAGTATTCAGAAAAACTCGTCGCGAACATCTTATCCGGAGTCCGTGGTCCGGGTACTTTGTGACTAAGAAACAGGACAGGAAAAAAATCTCGTCTTCTCAAGGCAGGACCTATACTCACGTAGGCACAGGATAGGATCTGAACCGAATTTTGAAGAACTTTTTGAGGCAAGCCGGTATTAGCAAAAGAAGTAACAACATCCCGCTTTCAGACAAATTCTCCTCACAACGTAGAAAAAACAGGGCCACCAGATTCTCTACTAGCCAGTCGCCACTGCGGGTTCCTCCTAGTGTAGTATTTACTCCTAAATATGTTCAAGATACATCATATGTCTATTCCAGAAAAAAAAAAAATCTGACGTAATAGTTCCCTATCTCTTTAAATTATTTCTGCAAACAGAATTCCAGCAAATCACTGGCATAACATCGATCATGTCTTCTATTTTGCTCTGGTCCTATTCGACACATTAGGTGTTTGGGGCCCGAATGCTTCTCGTTCTCATTCAGCAGTCATAAACAGGAGCTCCAGTGAATTTGTTCTGGTCTCACGTTGGATCAGTATTCAATTGACTCAGCTGACAAACGTTAATAGCGTGCCGCCCTTCCGACTGCTGCTTAACTGGGGGAAGCTTGGCACATCCAAATGTCTTCTCTCTCAAGTTAATAACTAGCTCATAAATAGTATTAGGACATTAAATGTATACAAGACTATTCTGAAGACCTTTCATTTAAAGGTTCTGCCCAATATTTAGCTCGTGGATCTATGTGGTGCACACTTTGTATTCTCGCCTTTGCCGTTGGTCGTTGTGGGGCCTTTTAGGGATATGGCTCCCGATTCCTAGCGAAACATGTCACTATGTGGAAGACTCGTTCAGGCCGAGTCAGAGATGTGACTGTTTGTGTCAACCTTGCTTTTTCCACTTTTGCTATTCAGCACAGTCTTTCCTTTCCATTTGCCTTCTTGCCCACTTTTATCACAGTTATTACCGGTATCTTTCTTGTTTTTCTCTGGTTGGTGCCTTCCATCATGGTCATTTTTCGTACTTTTCTTGCGCTGCCCGGATCAGATCCAAAAAACTACATTTCCTATTGAACGAGATGACAGAACGAGTGTGTGGAAGCAACATGGTCTCGGAGTCCGAGAATTTTATGAGATGATGCATATGAAGGGATCTGCCCCGAAATTCAATCGTTGATTCGGACAGAGAATTTTCGCAATCAGGTGTTTACGCGAATCGAGACCCCTACACAGTACATATATGATGAAGTAGTACGTTTCTCACTTCATCCTGAGGATTGTAAAATCCAAGTACCCAAAAAATTATATGTTATTTGTTATTTATATTAAACGATTAAATGAGGAATCATCATAGATTTTCATAAAATTAACAATTCATACAGTTAAAAATAAAGAATTTAAAGGCCAAAGGCCAAATTACTTGGATTCAAAGAAATCAATGATTTAAAACTCACTAGGAGGTTTTGATCTTTACTTAATTCTTATCCAAACGCTCTATTTCACTTAGTTCATTGATCAATTTAATTATTTCAAGTAGGGGAAACAACATCCGAAATGTATCAACCCTAACAAGCTCTTTCGTACTGTACTTGCATCACGCTATCTTTAATTCCATTTAATTACCCTATCTGTCCAATAAGACGCCAATCAAAGGAATTAAATCATTTAAGTTAGTAGTTGTTCATGAATTTACAATTTAAGGTTGATAAATCATTAAAAAACCCCATGAGTCAAACCCACTTATAGCCTTCGTCGCATCAAGTAATTCCTTATTTCTCATGTATTTTATTAACCTTTTTCTTATCAAAGTATCCTTCTTTCTGATAGTTTGATAATTGAAATAAATCAAATCTAAGGGAGAAAATTCTGCCTAGAAAAGCATTAAGCTTCAACCTAATAAATCATAACCTTGAATAAGGAAAAATAAATCATCTAATTGCAAAATTGGAACAAGAGATTAAGCTACATCCCTAACCCCTAAGTATAAGAGTTCTAGTCTGTTACACATCATTATTAAATAAGACTCCCAATAAATACTATGATAAAATATTTCATAATTAATAAGAATAATGAAAAGAAATTAAACAAAGATAAGAGTGTTAGTAAATAAGAACTAATTGCGTTGAAGATTGCTTTGAGATGACTTCCTTGAACAAACACTTTTGCAACAACTCTCTGAATGCCTAACTCTCTTTAGGAAAACAAAACTATACTACAAAGCTTATTGGATGAGCATGGGAGAAGTGAGCAACCCTGTAGATTAAACATGGGCATGCCCTTGAATGGCTCCTTCCCCTCTATTATTAGACTTCGCTGGCCGGGACACAAGCCCTTATGGCCGTTTACATGAGAGAAAGTCCCCAAACTTTCATGCGGCTTAACGCCCCTCATAGTTTCCGCGTGTGAGATGTACAATGTTCTAAAATCAACTCATAAATTGCTTCCTCGAATATATGGCTTTCCCCAAATGATATGGTTGCTGAACTTTGCACTAGCATGTGAAGAGAGTTATCCAAAGTATCTTGTTTGAAAAATGGTAGGACACTTAAGTTTATGGCTTGTGAAAATGGTAGGAATTAGTTGGCAATTTTTGACTCAAGTTCAGAGTTTCTTGCTTGGCACGGCCTGGGGCGTGCCAGGCTCTGGAAGTCTAGGGCTCTCAGCATGGGCGTGCGAGGCGGCACGGGCCGAGGCGTGCACTTCTGGAAGTCTGAGGCAATTGTGTAGCACGGGTGTGCTTCAACTGCACGGGCTAGGCTTCTATCTCTAGTGCGCGCACGGGCGTGGTCTTTGGCACGGGGCGGGGCGTGCATCTCTTTGGAAGTCTGAGGCAATTTAGGCACAAGCGTGCTACTCAGCATGGCCTGGGGCGTGCGCGCCTCTAGCTCTTGCTTGATTTGCCTTGTATTTGGCACGGTGCGCCTTAGCACGGGCTGAAGCGTGCTAATCCATGTTATGCCTTATTTTTGTCCTTTTCTTGCAAAATCCTACACTTTTCCTCAAAATCAAGTGAGTTGTGTTTCAAGGAAGCTTTTAAATAAAAATATAAATTGCAGAAGTGAAGTTGTGTTTCAAGGAGAAGCGCTTTTAGAGATAAAAATATAGACAATAATGTGTTATACGTACCAGAAAACTAATTTTAGGAATAAACTTAAAAACACTAATAAAATCTTGAGTAAAAAATTATAATAAAAAATACTATACCCAGATTATATATCTATCTATTAGTGATTACAAACTAGGAAAAAATGGCCATTTATATAAAATTAGAGAACAAATGGGATTTTGATCCCAGTTCTCTTCCACCATTGGTAAAACAAAATTGCAAGATAGTTTCTAACAAAAACAGATCAAATTAAAGGAATTATATAATATACGTACTTATACATTTATATTTTGCCAAATACCGTTAATGTTCGTCTGCTACTATATAAGATTTGAGAGCAAAGTTAAGGAATTTCCTGTTTCCTCTAGTGAGTTGTGTTTCAAGGAAGCTTTTAAATAAAAATATAACAATATTATATAAAAACTAATTTAGATAAATTAAAAACACTATAAATCTTAGTAAAAATTATAATAAAAATACTATAAAAATTAACACTATCAGTGATTACAAACTGAAAAATGGCCATTCAAATGGATTTGATCCCGTTTCCCAGTTGTAAAAAAAATTGCAGATAGTTTCTACAAAACAGTCAAATTAGATTATATATAATATATATATTATTTTGCCAATACCATGTTGTCTACTATATAATTTGAGAGCAATTAAGAATTTCTGTTTCTCTAGTACTGTTTTGCATTTACATTTTTTTTTTTTTATTGAGCAATTTGGCTTATACTGCTGATTGCTTGTCTAGAACCTCAAAAAACGATTTAAAAAGAAAAAGTTGAATGGGCAATAAGTGTTTGAGAAGCCAAGTTTAGGCAGGGGAGGGGAGGCTATATTTAACCAATTTGACGGCTTGTTCTTTATCTAATGGTCGCTTTAAAACCAACCTAACACTTGACATTACATCCACTAAATTGACTATTTCAATCAAATGCGAAGCAAATTTTGCTTAACTGTGAAAACTTAATGAAATGGTTGATAAGCAAGGAGACAGACATCGAATCATGTGATATCTCATCCTGTAAAGTGTAAACATAAGTATAAGCAGGAATATGTATTTGTCGTTTAAGATAGAATATCCATTCTAACAAAGGAGGCTTGTAATGAAATGCACCCCATTCTGCATATTTTTTCATTAAGCTTGTAATGACATCCAGAGAGCTCATTTGCTTGCAATAATCTAGTAATCGGGTAAATGGAGTTTGATAAGCAAAATGTGCTTGTAACGTGTTATGGGATTGTGTAGGCTGCAAGACTCTTGCTTCACCTTTGTATAAAGCAACAATGCTCTACCAGAAGGGAGAAAAACAAATATAATGGTAGGTATGCTCATTATGATTATAGCACTAACTAATAAAAATAAATTCATGGTGTATAAATTAGTTGTTCTTTTGCACTTGCCATCACACCACCCACTAGCATCCCCAGCATTCTTTCCTTTCAAGTGTTTCAAAACTGTAGTCCTAAAAAATAAAAGCACAACCTACCAATACCATACACTCATTAATTAATTGATGTGAACCACAAACCCTTAGAACTTGATTTTAAATTCTTAAATTTATACTCCAAGTGTTTTTTATAGTAAGAGAATTGTTGATCAAAATATTTCAAATTACAGAATATTTTGACTCTCAATTATATAACTTATTAAGCCACCGAAATGGGTAAGCCAGTAATTAAATTCTTGTAATTATGAGTGACTTATGAGCAACATTACCATATAGGACCACAATTGTCAAATTCCTGAAATTTGGGGTTCCTAAAATACATATACGAAAAAGCAGGGGACCAAAATCTGATTCCACAAAATAAAATCACTTGATGATTGATGACCCCAGCGACAAAACTCATATAAGTCCAAAAGACTTATAAACGCCTCGATCAGCAGAAATCTCTTCAGGTCTCCAACTCAAACCCACGAAAATACAAAACGTATACCCATCAATCATATCCACTCAGTGTTCATTGGCATCCATGGCTTCAGTCAATTTAGCTGTGGTTCTACTGTTGATAATGGCATTCATGTCTCAGGTGATCGATGCAGTCGTATACAAGGTGGGAGACTCTGCTGGTTGGACCACCATTGGCAACGTTGACTACAAACAATGGGCTGCTACTAAAACTTTCCAAGTTGGTGATGTTATTGGTAAGAATTAATCTTATTTTTCACCTTGTTATCAGGAATTGGATTTGGGTTTCTGTTTCTTTTTCCTTCTTTTCTTCATGAAACCCATTAATTGATTGCTTTACCTACTAATTAAACTGACTTCACAATTCATGTTCTGTTAGATCTTGATTCTGGGTTTTGTTAGTTCTTGGTATATTCTTGTTTTGCTTCTAGACTATTCAAGATTTGGCTGTGATAGTAGAACTCGCAATTTCATAGTAATTCTGAAAATACAGTCATCAGATTTAGTTTTCTTTGGCGAATGAACTTCGCCTTGTTCTACATAGGAAGTTGGGAAACATGGTGAATCATACGTATGAATACGATTGACACGAGGGCGATATATGATCCTCCAAGTGTCCCAAGCAATTTAAGCAAGAGTTGGTGTGTGTGTCATAATGATTTTGTGGGACCAACACTAGTGATTGTACATGATGTGCTAATGGCCCACTCAACTCAAAGTGTACCGTTATGTTAAAAGAACTCTGGAAGTGGGGCCGCCTACTGATGGGCTCAGCACCTGTTGGGCCCATGATATTTGGGCTATTATTCTCTCTCCTTAAAAAAAAATGTAAAAAGAAAATCATTTCCTTACAGGTATTGAATCTTGATCACGAAAAGTGTTTCCTGTCATCCCTGATCGGAGAGAAAGTTTTCCGTGCTTGGGAAAAAACTTTAAACTTTCCGTGAATTGAGAGGAAAATTTTCCGTCCTCTCCGTACGACTTTTGAAGCTTAATGTACCTTCTAGGCTTGCGATCTGTGAGTGCGAGGCATAATTAAACTGTAGAAAATCAACCACCTAAAGAATTATAGGTTTCACTAAGAAGGCCAATGAGGTAATATTGAAGTACAGTGCAGGCACTATTCTTTTATTGTGTGTATTGGCATGATAATGTCGGCACAAACCTTTTAGTTTCTATGGTGTTTGGAGACATTTCATGATTGTTGGAATTGTAGGTGGAGAGTCACATCCATCTGTCTATTGCCAAATTGTAGGAAAAGCAGAGGTAGCTTCGATGTTTCTCGTACGTTTGCAAGCACGATAACTTCACTTTTTCGATCATTTCAAAATGTGTAAAGTTCGTAGAAGATTAGCGTTTGTTATACATTTAAAGCTTGAGACTCTCGCTCGATGGTTATTTCTTTCATCTTGCTATAAGGACAATAATAGTTTGCTAATTCTATAAATTCTTGTATAGAAAATTTCATAGGATAGATTACAACCTGTTAATTCTCTAATTCAAATACTATTCTTGTTTTTCTATTCTCATTACTGTCACTCCTAATAGGTAATTTTTTGGTGTTTGTGATCAGTTTTCGAATACAACTCCCAATTTCACAACGTAATGAGAGTAACGCACGAGATGTACAAGACATGTAATGCCTCTGCCCCATTGGCAACCTATACCACAGGCAATGACTCAATCACCATTAAAACTCGTGGCCACCATTTCTTCTTCTGTGGTGTACCTGGCCACTGCCAAGCTGGCCAGAAGATTGATATTAACGTCCCTCGCAATGATCAAGAAATGTCCCCATCTCCCTCTGCTTCTGCTTCTGCTTCTCAACCTTCAACGCTCTCTCCTCCAGTTCCTGCTGCCAGAGTACCGGGCCCTTCCTCCAATCAAGCCGTGCTAATCAAACCTTTCATTTCTATTGCTGTTTTGGGAATTTTTGTGTTCAGTTTTGCTTAATTTTTTCCAAATTTTGAACCTAGTTGTTATACACAACGCAATAATTAATGTATTACATTAGATTTACAATTGTGGTCTTTAATGTATTTTTCGATCTCTGTTACTGCTATTCTTCTATCTCAAATTGTTGGTTTCTGGTTTTCATATTTCATCAAATAAAAGTAAGTTGAAAAATTCATTTCAACAGAAGCATATGAAACCAGAAATACCAATTTCCCATTATTAATAATAAAAACAAGAATTGGTAGTTATAATGTGTGGCCTCCCTTTATACAATGCTACTAATTAAACACTGTCATGTATCAGTATAACCATCAATCCATGAATTTTCTCCATACAGGATGCTTCTTCCATATTTGTTCAACCATGAGATAAATAGGGACATTCTTAGTCTCCGGCAACAATTTCCAAACGAAAAGGCACATAATAATGATCCAACCGGCGAAGAAGAAGAATATAGCGGCACGCATCTGGCAAAGCATTGATAAGAATGCTTGAGCTATGATGAAAGTACAGAGCATATTTGTGCTAACTGCAAAAGCAAACCCCTCAATTCTGGTTTCTAAAGGGAGCGTTTCGCTTGGAATCAACCAGCCAAGAGAACGGCATAACCATGCAAAGGCCATAACGTACAAGCACACTAGAACCACTATAACGGCTGCTAGTGGACGTGAAATACTCCCTGTCTCTGACAACTTCAGTAGCAAAATAAATCCAATCACAACCTGCACCATCAAAACAAGTCAAAACCAGAGGTAAAATAACAATTAATAAAGATGAGCAGTTAATTTAGTTTTTATGTATAAACCTGACAAATAAAAATCTGAAAACAAGCTTGAAGCAGCAGTTTCCTTCTGCGTATCTTATCCACCGCATATATAGGACAAGAATGCTAATAACATTAACAAGTCCGGTAATGACAGAAGACAAAAGAGATGCGTCATTCTTGAAACCCACAGTTTGAAACAAAACAGGCACGTAAACATTACAGCATTGATTCCTGTAAACTGCTGAAACACTTGCATCACTATGGCTATAATTAGCGGAGGAATGCTATAACTTCTCGTCAGATTCTTGAATGGATCCTTAATTTGCGTCGCCATTTCACAAGCAGCCTCAATTTGCTTAAACTCAGCCTCAACATTTTCAACTCCTTTTAAGTTTCTTGAGCTTTGATCCCTTGGCCTCGTTTTCCCTGCTCGATTAGGCTTGCAGGCGTCTCAGTAATCACTATTGAGCCTATAAACAGGATGACAGCAGGCGCACCTGCGAGCCCCTATGATATTCTCCATCCATTAGGATGTGATTTTGTAGAGGCATAATTAACGAGATTTGCTATTAAGATCCCTATAGTAATGAAAAGCTGAAACAGAATCTTCACAGCTCCACGATGCTGAACTGGTACTATTTCTGACAGGAACAACGGAACAGCCTGAACAAAAAGAATTTATCTTTAAGGAATTATGAATTATTAGAGATATTAATGTTGTCTGAAACTAATGTTTATTACCTTATTCCCAAATCCTACACCGAAACCTAAGAGAACTCTGCCAAGAATCAGCATCCAGAGACTTTGAGCGCCAGAGCTTAGAGAAGCTCCTGCGAGGAAAAACAATGATGCAAGAAAAATTGTGGGTTTTCGACCCAACTTTGAGCAGACTTTTGACTTTTGAGGCCCCGAAGCTTGCAAAAAGTGCAGCAAGGTAAAGTGAAGATGTGAAAAGCTGAAGATATATATATTTTTTTTGACATTTAAAAGCTGAAGATATTGATTGTCATATTTGCAGTAATTGTTTTCCTTTGCAGAAGGAAAGAAGTTTATCAAAAAAATCATCCATAGCTGTCAATCCACCTAAAATCAGAATATCAGAGTTGGGTTTCCAAAAAATAAATAAATCAATTTTTTTTTTTACCTAAAATGCCCTAACCTATATGCTTATACAAAATTCTGGTCAACTAATTAATTTTTGCCTCATCTTCATAAACACATAAATTAAGTAATTAGTAAAAAAAATAAAAACAAGTGCATTATAATTATTATCTCCATACTTTGGATAGAAAATTGACTTTTTTTTTTTTTTTTTTTGCTTAGGTGAGCCCCAAGCGAGGCAGGCGTGAGAGAGAAGCTGCGGCTTGCGGGAAAGACAAACTGATGACAAGAAAAATAATGTGGGTGTTTCCGGCGCGTCGCAAACTTTGAGCCAGACTCATTGACCTTTTGCAGAGGCGCCGGCGGCCCGAAGCTTGCAAAAAAGTGCGAGCATGACGGTAAGACGTGAAGAGTAAGGTGGGTGAAACAAGGCTGAAAGATAATTAACTAATTAATTTTAGTCTTTGTTGACATTTAAAAGCTGAAAGATGATTGATTGTCATATTTGTGCAAGTAATTGTCTTTCCTTTGCCAAGAAGAAAGAAAGTTTATCAAAAAAATCATCCACATAGCTTTGTCAATCCCTAAAAGTCAGAACATATCAGGAGTTGGGTTTCCCAAAAACAGTAAATAAATCAACCCGAATTCTTTTTTTTGTACCTACAACACTGGTCCTAACCTATTGCCTAATTACAAAATCTGGTCAACTAATTATAGTTTTTGCCCGTCACATCTTGTCATAAACACAGTATAATTGAAGTAAATTAGTAAAAAAAAATAACAACAAAGTGCATTATAATTATCTGGAATCGATACCATACTTTGGAAGTAGAAAATTGACTTTTTTTTTTTTTTTTTTTATTAAACATGCGAAACAATGTTTGTGAAAATATTTTTTTTAATTCGAGAGGATTTATATCAAGACTGCAACATCAGGTGAAAAAAAAATAAAAAATTATGATGTTACCATTACAAAGCTTCTTTTTTTTGTTTTTGGAAAAATCAATTATAAATTTCGGGAAGAAATTTATTTCTCTAAAAACTAATTTTTTGTTATCTGATTGGCAAATACCGTGTTAAATAATGAAAGAGCTTTTTTTTTTTTTTTTTTTTAACATGCGAACAATTTTGATAGGAAAAATATTTTTTTTAATTGAAATTTATATAAAACTGAAAATATGAAAAATAAAATTTTGTCATTACCAAACTCTTTTTTTTTTTTTTGGAAAATAACTTAATTCGGGAAAATATTTTCTAAAAAACTATTTTTGTTATCTGATTGCAATATTAATAATGAATAAAAAATATTAAAAATTTTAATTAGTAAGAAAGAATTAACGGGTCCAAGTAGCTCTGTAGCAGTAACTTTTGGTAATAGAATAATACACAATGAAAATATAAAACATAAAGCGATACAGTCAAAAGTAAAAAATATGATAACGAATCACAATATAGAGAGTATGTAAGAACCTGAAATTCCAATATCATAACCGAACATTAAGCCGCCAAAGGCAGCAAGAATCCAACACACAGCAACATAAAGATTCATCTTCCATGGATAATTCTCATCACCACCACCACCATCATTTTCTATTTATGTGACTGTTCTCTCTGTTCTTTCTGCCATATCTTTTCTTTTCTCTTTCTCTTAGTTTTCTGTCACTCCACTCAATGAAAAATAAAATGGTCTGTTCATTTCTTTTTCCACATATATTTATATATAGTATGTCTTCCTGCCATAAAGGAAGAATTTCTCAACAATGAAGGCAACGATTTTTTTCTGATATTGGTGGGAATAGGGTTTTCCCTCTAATTTAGAATATTATTTAATTTTCTAAATTAGGAAATAATGCATATTTAACTGGAAGTTTCTTTGATATATTTTTTATTTTCCTACAAGGTTTTATCCTGATCGTAATCCTATTGGAATTTGTAAGGTTAATTACTGTCTTAGGCTTTATTTATTTATTTATTTTTTTTTTTTGAGATAACAAATATTTATGAAAAAGAAAATGTGAAGATTTTGAACAGTTAACGTGTGTGCATGTGCCTCTAGCGACTGTAAATGAGCCGATTAAAGCTCCAACATGTTAAGCTCAGAAATTCGGGTAAATTTAAAATAAATATTATATAAATGAAAGCCGATTAAAGCTTCCAACATGTTAAGCTCAGAAATTCGGTAAATTTAAAATAAAATCATTATATAAGTATAGGTATATATGTAACTTTTTTTTTTCTTTCTTTTAAAACAAATCCTTATGCATCTGTTGCCTAAATCTAGAAAATATGTAGCTCGATATTTTATTTAGTTCGTTTAATCTCAAAAGAACTATTTTATCTAGATAATAGTCCAATAAAAGGTAATAGAACTGAAAGCAAAATGAGGATAAGAGATGGTAGGGTGACGAGATTTTTGTTTTTTTTTTTACTATTTTTTTTTTTGTCTTTTTATTAATTTCTCAAGATCATTGAAACGTCAACATGAAATGGAAATACACAACTGGGAACACGCTACGTCTCCACTTTCCAATAAAAACCTTTACCGCGTCCATCATAGGCTTGAAGACTGAGGCCAGGTGTGGTATTCTGGGTTAACATTATCGTCACACGGGCTTCAAAGGGTGTGCTTTGCCTAATCACAATGGACAGAAGACAAGACATTGTAAAGAAGATTCCATTATTCAATTGTTTTTTTTCCCTTTTTTGTCTAGTATTTTTTACTATATTCTTCCCTTGAGTTGACTGCCATCAGGGTTGCCCTCTGAAAATGCTTTTTTTTTTTTTTTTTTTTTTTGTCTTTTTATTTCTCAGATCATTGAAACGTCAAACATGAAATGAAATACACAACTGGGACAGCTTTCCTTTCCAATAAAACCTTTCCGTTCCATCTAGCTGAAACTGGCAGTGTGTATTTGGTTACATTATTCACCAAATTCTTTGCCTAATCACAATGACAAAGACAAGATTAAAGATTCCATTATTCATTGTTTTTTTTCCTTTTTTTCTGTTTTTTCTTTCTTCCCCTTATTGAACTCCTCAGGTTGCTCTGAAAATCTCAAGGCATATGAGTGTGAATCATCTTAGCTGGTTTCTTGACAGGACCATCATGTTCATCGTCAAAGAATCTATACCAGAACCAATGCTGCTTCCAAACTCTATCAACCATCTCATCAATGGGAATACCTTTAGTCTCAGGAATGAAAAACAGAGCAAATACCATCATAGCCACAATCCAAGCTGCGAAGAAGAAGAAAATCCCAGCTTGCATTTTGCAGAGCATGGACAAAAATGCTTGTGCGATTATAAATGTGCAGAGCATATTAGAGCTAACTGCAAATGAATACCCAGCTGTTCTTGTTTCAAGAGGAAACGTTTCGCTTGGGATTAACCAACCCAAGGGACCCCATGACCAAGCAAAACCAGCAACAAATACACATACCATAACCACCACAATTAATGCCTCCGAACTTGGTAAATCACCAGTGGGTTTCAAATCCTTCATTAATATAACTCCAATAACTGTCTGTGTAATAAGCATTTGTAAACAAGCTTCAATAAGAAGAATCCTCCTTCCTGCTCTATCTACAACCACAACAGAAACAATAGTGCACAGAACATTAACAGTTCCTGTTACAACGGACGATAGAAGAGCTGCATCATTTCCAAAACCAACTGTCTGAAACAAAACAGGTGCGTAGAACATAATCGCATTAATTCCAGTGAATTGTTGGAAAATTTGCAACATAATCGCTATGATTAGTGGTGGTCTGCTTGGTCTTGTCATGAGTTTGGCATAAGGGTCTGTCACTCGCCTAGCAATCTCACAAGCGTGTACTATAGAATCAAATTCAGGATCGACATTGTCAATTCCTCTGATTTTCTTGAGTACTGCTCTTCCTTCTTCTACTCTATCACGCTCTATCAAGCTTGTTGGTGTTTCAACTATGATTAATGAACCTAAACCAAGCATCAAAGCTGGTACGCCTGCAAGTCCAAGTGAAATTCTAAATCCGTATGGGTGAATCTCACCCACGAAGTAGTTCACAATATTTGCAAGCAATATTCCAATTGTTATGAAGAGTTGGAAACAAATATTTAGCGCTCCTCGGACTTTCGCTGGAGCTAACTCTGAAAGAAATAGTGGCACTGCCTGTAAAAATGAGCCAGTTCTGTTAATTTTTCTTTGTATTTTAATTAAGCCCTCTTCAACATTGCTGTTTGAGCTGCTAAATTTTGTTTTTAAGCAGTTTCAGCAGCAATGCGAAACAGACTCTGTAGAAGAAGAAGAAGAAGAAGAAGAAGTTATACTTGATTGGCAAATCCAACACCGAAGCCAAGGAAAACCCTGCCAACAATCACCATTTCTATATTTACTCCAAAGGCACTTAAAGCGACACCTGCTATGAAGAAAAAGGAAGCAAATTGCATAGTGGGTTTCCTGCCAAACTTAGTGCAGGTTTTTGAAGCCACAAAGCTGGCTACAAGAGCGGCAATGTATAAGGAAGAAGTGAACAGTTGGAGATATTGATCGTCATATTTGCAGTAATTGTTTTCATGTGCATGTTTCTTTCTTTCATAAACTGAAGGAAAGAATTTTACCAAGAAGTCATCCATGGCTGAAACACCACCTGCAATTTTTATATTCAAGAAAATAATTAATTAGTTTGCCAACAAATATGAAATAATTATAAGAAGATTATTTATTTTATTTAAATATTAGTACTAAAGTACCTGAAACACCAATGTCATAGCCAAACATTAGGCCTCCACAAGCTGCAATAATAACACATAAGACGACTGTAAAAGTCATCCTTCCTTCGAAAGTTGGCATATCGCCATTGCTGGCAATTACTATGGCTGGCATTTTTAATTACCTTCCTTAACCACAACTAATTAAACTTCTCAGCAATGCAAGGAGATTAATGAAACTGATTAACTCAGAATTGAAGTAACAAAGAAAAGCAAAGGTAATTAGAGAAGAAAGCAAAAGGAACTAGTGTTTTGCATAATGTGATTGTAAATAGGTTTATATAGGAAGAATTGCTAAAATTAGAAACTTAAAAACGGGGAATACTAGACAGAGCGTTTGCTTAGGAGAGGTTAGCTGTTCTGTCCTAGCAGTTTTAAACATTTGACTGTAACATTATCTGTTTTTGTTAGAGAGGATTTAATGAAAAACATACAAGAATCACATTATAGATTCAGAGGATTAGTCTTACACAAGATCATTTAGATTAGTTTAATTGGTAGACTAAATGAAGGTCTAAATAGATTCTATGCACAAAAGTTTTCATTTTTTAGGCATTTAGCACATTCTTCCGCATAGACAATCCATTTTATTTTATTATTATTATTTTTTTTTTATCAACTAGACAGTGCAAGATGCGTTTGTTATTGTCGTTTACTTTGAAAGACTGGGTAGCGCCTCATTAATTCTCATTGACACATCGGTATTTGACAAGTAGTTTTCAAACTCTATTTTTTTTCAATAGTTTACCGTCTATTTAAATGACCCACTTAAATTATTTTGAATTATAAAGTGCAGTAAATGATCCTTTTTTTCAATCATTTTTATTTATATTAGTTATTTTTAATTTTGAGATAAAAAATAAAATTTTTTTATAATTTTAAAAAATTAATTATTCTCTTAATCTCCATTTGCTTGCTAAGAATTTACCCGTTTACTTTGGTAAAAATTTGCCCATCAGGCCTAAAAACGACAGTACGTAATTATTCGGGCTCATTATCAACGACATTGTATTCTGAGTTTTTGATATCGTTTTTAAGGCGCATTAGGCCAGACAAAATACCATCATTACAAAATTTTTTGAAGAAATCAATTTTCAAAATTTGGATAATCGCATGGCTGCTCCACTTAGAAGCACAAATATGTGTATCATACAATTAATGCATTAAATTTAAACCAATAAAATAATCTTATTTCATTTTTCAATAATAAGTACTTCACATCGAACCATTCACTCTGGTCACGAACACTTGCAGAATTCATGAACGCATTATCCATTCTAACAAAATAATTCTATAAAGCTTCCTTTGAGAACATTTGCATTTCTGTATTTTTTTCCCCCCATATCTGAATAGATTACAAAAATATAAGATCAAGTGTGGTTCACGACCCCTGCATGGAAGGGGACAGCGAATAATAATTCACAGAGATGAAAGCCTAGGAGAATCTATATTCTATTTCATTACAAAAAAAATGAAGTGAGAGAAAAGAATTGGTATTCAAGGATATAATCGGTCAGCATCATCAGCTGGAAATGTGATCCAATGAGGAAGAATTGGATGGCGATTTCAAGCAGGGACATGATCTCGGATCAATACACCATTGATAAGTGGGCGCTGCACATCTGTATTCCTAGTGAACATTCTTCTATCTAAATATTTAGTTCTGCCACCAATAATCAAAAAGATGATCAGAGAAGTTGAAAACCAATCAATGCAGCACTTATGGCAGTAAATTCAGCAGACTAATACAGTGAGCAAAACAAAACTACACGCTAATTTAACTTAAATAACAGCATAGATGGTTAACGAATAATTAGATAAATTGATTTCTTTTTTTTTTTTTTTAATGAATGCACAAGAAAATAAGGTTTTGGCGTGTCAAAATACTGGTAACAGTGTTTTTTTTTTTTTTCCTTAAACATCGGAAATTCTCAAAGTAATATAACTTCTCCTGTTGCAACACCGGGCAAACACTTGACCACTGGGATACAATCCCAATGGCTGTCTATAATAAATTTAATCAAGCAACACCAGGCATGAATAAGGAAATAGGGAAAATACCGAAATGGTAAAAACATCAACACCCTAAAGTGTGGATATTTAATATGCATGTCCATTTCACAGACAGTGAAGAGAGAAGAAAACTTTTCATGTTGCCTTGACAGGCAAACTCCTAATGCCGCTACTGCTATACATCTATGAATTAGGGATCTAGTAGACACCATGTTGCTTGACAGCACCAATGATCTAAAAAGACAAGTGCATTTAAAGAAACATTATCATAATTTACATTCATTCTGAATGGTTATGACGCAGAAGTAAAGGATTATTTAGCTTGTCCTGAATAAAATTAAAAATTCCCTGATGCATATGCATTAGAACAAACAGAAAACACGAGTAGAGCAGCATAGAGACCTTACACTAGTTGATTGGAGCTCCATACTAGCTGAATCCTCATTGTCCTATAATACAAATCGCCACAGAACAATCGTTACACTGGACCAGTTAAATTTAAAATGTGGAAGAAATTAATGCCGACCTACCTCAATAAGCAAATCCTTTCTGGTAATCAAGCCAATCACACGTGAAGCACGAGGAACAACGAATATATGTCTTAATCCTAGCTGGCGGAAAAGATTATATACCTATGCCATTGGCAAAATGCATAATATATCATACAAACTGGGGGACTCCCAGACCCCATATGCAACATTATGAAATACAAATAGGAAAAAAGTGGTTCACCTTTGTTAAAGACATGTCCTCAGGGACAACATATGGAGAAGGATTCAAAAATGGGGCAAGATCAATGTACATTTCTAAGTCATCTGAACTGAGATGAATATCATCTATGGAAATTCCTTTACTGGAGGCAGGTTTCACAAATTCACCGAAATTGTGCCTGAGATAGAATCCACTTGTTTCAGCAAGTGTGAAGGTCAATCAAGTAACAGCAAGGATAACTAGTATTAAGCTTCCCTTTACCTGATTGTACTGGAAGCACCTCTAGGATCACAAGGCAAAGGACTATGCTGAAAATCTACCTTAGACTGAAGAAGCACTAGCAAGTGGCTGCCAAGGAAACCAAAAATTAAATTAGATGCATGGCCTCTGCTTCTAATGAATAAAACAACACAAACCAAAAGAGAATTAAGAGTTCTACCTGCGAAGAACAAGTCCAATTACAAGGGTTTCTCCATTCCTTGTGTGATCAATCACCTACGTGCAAGTACAGTATTAGAATATAGTTTAGAAATCCCATGCATAAACAGAAGACGACAAAGATCCGTGCAAAGCTTACAGGAAAACCATTGTGTTTATTGCTTCGTAAGATAGAAACTACATCTGCAACCTTAGCAACCCGAGGAAAGGAGACAACCTTCAAATGATGGAAGAGCAAACACAATGAGTTGAAGATGGTGTGCAGCACAATAGAAGAGGAAAAGAAATAAGAAAGCCAAGACAAAAAGGATTGGCTTGAAGAGTTCAAATGTCAATTGCTCATGCCAATAGCAGTCACAATTTATATACTTCATGGTAGTTCATTTTACACAATCAAGATGGTATCTGAAACAACCGCCCAGCGAAAGGGAGACACAAATGAGAAGCAGTTGAAATGAAAATAACCTTCTGACTTCCACAAGCTTCCTTTGCAGTCATTTTTCTCATTTGATATTTAGGCCTAGAATCTAGTAATGGAATGCCTCTCAATTCAGCTTGAACTTCATATAGACCTTCATTAAAAGCATCACCAACGGCCTGCAGAGGAAAGATGAGATTGATTTTATAGAACATTCATCAATAAATATGTTAAGCAATTCAAAAGCTTACCTTTGATATAAGGAGGACAAGCATGATGAGAGGTAAAAGCTTCAAGTTGTTTGTGATCTCAACCATTATGACACATAATGAGACTGTCATACGCATAGAACCTCCAAGGAAGGAAGCAGCGCCCAACAAAGCATATCTACAAGTTGACCAGGACGCATACAGCATAGTTCAGAAAGAAGAAAATAGTATTGAGGCAATAGTTTTTCATGGATAGAAGGTAAAAGTCAACCATATTGAGCAAGGAATGCAGTATAATAAATAAATAAATAAATGAGGGACAATTTTATGATATGCATGAAAAAAAGAAAAAAACCATGAGTTGGTTATTGTTTTTTATCCAGCATAAAAGCAAAGCTTTTGTGAGTGCATAGAAAATGTGTCATCAACGAAATACGTCTTACTGTTGAAAATTTCACAGAACCAAAGCAAGAGACTCACGTTCCCTCCTCAATGTTGGGCTTGTTGTAAAATTTAACAACAAACATGCCGACAATGCGTCCATATGTTGATCCTATCATTATTCCAGGGACAAACTGACCAGCAGGAACTGCTGTGCCAAATGTCACCACAGCTAGGGTATAAAACATCACCTGTAAACATTATAAACAGATGCACAAAATTCACTCAATTGGATGAAGATATTAAAATATGATCATAAACCCTCTTCTGGTTAGTTTAACCATAAAATAATTGGAAAAAAAAAATCAACAACATAATAAGGTCAGAGAGCATAAGCTGAATAAGCAGGGAAGTAGATAGTATAAAAGAAACTGGATTGGATTTAGATAACCAAAATGAGTATCAGAACAAACTACAAAGATGAAAATAAGAAAGAAAGTGCTGAGTTCTGTACAAAAGACATCAGGAGGTAAATTAGAGCTCTTTCTTGAGAAATTCAAAATATAAAAATAAGAACAACCATCAAATGTATACACAAGACAGATCCCCCATTCTGATTCCGAACAACCTAGACCTAAAGCTTCCTGAGACTTTATTGTGGACCTGTAGTAATTAAAATTTTGGACTTTGAAAAATATCATCATACTTCATTTTCAGAATACAAAAAAAAAAAAAAAAAAAAATCATACTTTCATTTTCAGATACAAAAAAAAAAAAAAAAAAAAAAAAATAGCAATTAATTTTCCCTTTTCCAGAAACGCAGCGCCCTGGTAGCCAAAAAAAAAAAAAAAAAAAATAGCATTAATTTTCTTTTCCAGAAAGCAGCCTGGTAGCCAGCTGCAGCACTTATGGAGTGACTGGAGAAGAAAAGTCTATTAATTTCAAATTTTAAAATTAAAGCATAAAGCAAAAGAGCAACAAGGCTCAGTGCCTGGCAAAAGACCTGAGAACAATTGAATCAATTTAAAAAAAATCACAGATGCGATATGACTAATCTTCTCATGTGAAAATAAGGAAAAAAAAATATACTACCAGAAATGTTAATAAACTTTGGGCACTGAACTCATGGATTGTCTTCGCACTAAACAGATTCCTTATAGCATCATCCTGTAAGAACATTATAACTGCATTAAAATGAAAAAATGGACCGACATGTGAAACCCAAATGTAAAGCAATGAAGAAGGGCTTTCACAATTCTGATGATACCTGAGTATTAAAGAAAATTGTTGCAAGATCATTGTACTCGTTGCTCTTGCCACAGTAAAACTGCAAGTCAGAAAATCAAAATCAGAATATCTTGGTCATCTGCAGAAAGTACACTGTGTTGTACTAAACCTATTACGTTCAAGTTGTGATCATGAAAATTTTTGAGATGAGGACATACAAAATAAAATCACCAAAAAGAGTGAATGTCAAGGCTAGCTCTTACATTTACATAATTTCCATACATTCCCGGAGGCCGTGGGCACTCAATACCAGAGTCAGGATCTGATTCAGGGCATGGACTGCATTTTCTTAGAAGTGGTAATCCAAAAGAAATAGCAGATGTTATCACAGAGACTAGGCATGCTTCAACAATCTGTGACAATGTTATAATTATAATTGGAGTATACAAATTGAAATTTGAGATAATAGTGCACAACCAAAAAGGAAAGAACAGGATTCCATGATTATCCTAAATTTTACCTTCACTCGGGAGCCTTTCTTGTGCAAGTAATTTCGGCGCCATTTAGTAATATAAAGTGTGAGCTGGTTAAATAATGCTCCTGAAAATTCAAGAGCGACGAAATTAAACAAATAAAAAATTTTTTGCAATTAAATGAAAATGGAAAAGAAGACAATGTCAGGGTAAGGATATGGTTACTCACCAAGTAGACCACCAATAACACCAATAACAGCCATTGGAAGTAATTCCCCAAAAGAGTAGTCTTCTTGACCACTGTCCAGAAAAGAAATAACAACAAATAGAACTTAGACAAACTGTAAAAGCTCACAGTAGGGTATAACAATAGGGAAAGAGAAGAGTCTGAGTATCAACTCTGATATGTCCCATATAACAAAACCACCCGAGCCAAAATGCCCACACTTTCCACTCTTACACCATCCCATTGCAGTACGCACTACCACTGCCACAATAGCGGAAGTAAAAAAGACACGCCACATAAGTTGACTCTTCCACCTTAAAGCACAAAACAGAAACAAATGTAAGAGGCATTCAAATTTTTGACATAAAACTATGAGTAGACTGACCAAACTGTCAAAAAATTTAAAGGAAAACATGGGAATGCATATAACACATTGGCAATAGCATATATATCTGATGAATAACAATGGCAAATAAACCATGCTTGCACAATTAAAAATCAATTGCATCCAACATAACCTAAATTTTATTTCTTTGCTCTTTGTTACAAAAGGTTAACCATATAACCAAGGATAAAACTGTCTTACCAAGATGTAACCTCTTCTAATGCAAACAATACACCACCAACAGGAGCTCTAAAAGCAGCTGCAACTCCAGCTGCACATCCACAAGTCACCTTTTCAAAACATTAGATGAATCAAAAAATGAGCACAATAAAGATGTGAATCACCTCTATTCTTAGAAAAATGAGAGACCATAATAAAATGGTACCCAAGCTACAATGTTTCTGCATGACATAATATCCAACATCTATTTGGCTACAACCACTTGGCGAGTAAAAGGGTTTCCAAGGAGATGTAACAAGCAAATAAATCCAAAAGTGCAATCTCCCATCAAAACGTAAAAGCTTAATTACATCAAGGGGTAAGTTACTCACAAGATCACGGCGATCACGATCAGTTTTGAAAACTTGTAACCACCTGGAACTTAGATGAAATTTGGTGGATCCACCCTAAATTGACAATTGAAACTTAGGTTATTGTGGCAAACATTAAAAAGTTCTGCAAACATATGTTTTAGTTCTGAAACAAAGTAAACTCCAAGAAGTGATTCTTACTTGTCCAAGTAAAGAAGCAATACAAGCACCAGTATGAACAAGGGGACCTTCTTTGCCTAAAGCAAGACCCCCTCCCACAGAACCAATACTTCCAAATATCTATAAACATCAAGTGAGAACAATTAAGATTGAAATATGAATAATCAGAAAATCCTAAACAAGAAAGTTTATGATAAGAAGTCCATTAAACCTTTCCAATCAAGGTTCTGAAAAGTAGAATTCCATGAATATCGATTCCTATACAATTAATGTTGATTAGCATCTCCATGGATTATAGTAGGAATAACTCATTGATTAGTGACACTAAGACAAGCCAATTGAGCTTTTCAGCTTACCATTCAAATAACCTTTAATTTCAGGAATACCAGATCCTGCTGCTGCGGGCGCAAATTGTGTGACAATATATACAGATGAATAGACTAAAGCCAAGTTAATTAATACATATACTATGAAGCCGGCAAAATATGATTTTTGTATTATAGAAAAAGTCAGTGAAAATTTCCAGCCAGCGAAGTTCTCAACAGATAGATTAATGAAAACTGCAGCTAATCCAGTACCTATAAGCCAAAAAAAAAAAAAAAAAAAAAAAAAAAAGATAGATTAATTGAAAACTGCAGCTAATCCCAGTACCTATAAGCCAAAAAAAAAAAAAAAAAAAAAAAAAAAAAAAAGATATCAGAAAAGAAGAAGGAGAAGAAATGTCACCAAAAAAATATTTTAACTCTAAACTTTTAAATGCTCTCCAGTGAAAGCAATTGAAATTATGCATCTGGGCTTCATTTTGATTTACATTTAGCAATTTAAATCCAGAAGAATCAATTTACAGAGACGAATTTTATCCACTATAACTTCACATTCATTGTTAAAAACTACAACATCATAATTCTACTTCGTCCAACTTTATCCCCAAAAAAATTTGTAGGGAAAATCTCGATAGAAATCATACTCCATTGGTTGAATCTTCAGCAGATAATCAATACCACATCAGGGGCATATGAAAAACATACTCGAATATATCATTATTTATTCTAATTTACAAGCACGAATGGTGAAGTTTATGCCTGACCATATATAAGAAAAGCAATCCTAAAGATCGCCCCATTCACTGTGTAACAAAAAAATTTCGCAAAGCTATTCTTCAGTTATATCTATTCGCTTCTTGAAAATATGAATATAATACATCAGGCGCACAGCTCATAATAAAGCTAACTAGACTTAATGAATATCTAAGTAAAAGATGAACAGATAACAAAAGTACCAAACCGCAAAATAAGTAATAACAATGAATTCGGGAAAGTTTCCAGATCGATCTATAAACTTGAATCCAATACCAAAATCTTAAGAACGCTTACCGATACCAATGAGCAAAGCAAATAACCACTTCACAGCTACACAATATCCAACATAAAGTTTCCCTCTCTGCGCCTGCACGTCCCAAAAAAGAAACCAGGACGAATAGCGATTAAAGTGAGGAGAGAATTTTTTTTTTTTTTTCTAAAAAAGAATCGAAGTCCCGATTAATGCATACGTGTGCGCGAAAAGCAGAATAGCAGAAACACAAACCTGTTCTTCTCGATACGCATAATTCTCAATAACTTCGTAATCAAGGCTCTCCACAGGTCTCCCATCGCTTGTGCTCAAGAGACCAACTCTCTCGAACTCACCATCCTCTGAATTTGGAATTCGAGACCATAACAGCTTAGCGGTCTCGATTCCATCCTGTAGATGATTCGATAACATTATCAACCAATCTCTCTCTCGAAATCAAACCCTATCCTAAACCCTAATTGGCACCAAATCGGATATGATATATATAATGATGCTGCACAGCATCCGGAAATCACCAAACACAGATCAGCAAGCAACTGATTGCACCGCGAGAATTCAAAGTCTCTGAATGTAAATAATCCTGTTAAACAAGAGATGGAAATGAAACTGAAGAATCAGTTGGAGAGGAGAAAGCGCGCGAGAGAGAGACAACAAAAGGGTCACAGTAGCGTAGAATCCTGAGTAGACTTCACGTTTTCTCTCACTCTCTTTTGTGTCTTACCGTTCTCTGTTAGTAATATTTAACTCTTCACTTTTATTATTACCGGCAATACCATTACGAGTGGTAGTGGTGCGCCGTGGGGTTGTGTTCTTCTACAGCGAAGCGTATGTGAGATCTTGTCGGTTACTGGAGCGTGTGACGTGGACGTTTGATTAAAGCATAATGGGATATGATTTAAATGCTTCGACGACACACAGGTAATGTATTTCAATTGGACCTACCGTTAAAATGTCATACGAATATGAATTAATTAATTAAAACACGCACATACATACTCGCCCCTTTTTTGGACACGTGGCATTCTTAGACAGCAATATTCCAACTCTGAAATATTGAATACTAAATAGTAAGTTTACTCTGATTTTTAAAAAGATTAATTCACATCATTTGACCTCGTAAATGGAAGTGTGCCTGTATTAGCACAGAGAAAATAAGAAATGTGTACCACGAGAAGTGAGAAATGAGCAGAGACTCCACCATTTTCATGCATTTTCCCCCACCAAACAAAAACTTTTAGTTGGGAAATGGGAATCAGTATCGTGGCAGTGTTGTCTTGTCGTTTTGCTTATACACTACTTCCTCTTCAAAGCCAAGCTTCTTTCTTATTCTTAATCTATCTGTCAAAATCAAAGATGTAACAATTTTATTCCATTTTGTATTTTCTCATTTAGCTATTTGTGAAATTCCATGTCATCTATGTTTGAAATATATTATGTGAGAAAAAACATTATTTTCGCCAAGTCGAATTGAATTGTAAGAAAAATTTAATCATACTGAATTTTTAGTTTGATACTATTTAGCTCTTCGACTATTAAAATTATATTGACTTGAAAATTAAGTCTCTAATTTTGAATCGCTCATTAAACTATGAATACGAAATTCATGAAAGGTTGAAAGTCGATGCAACGACTACTACCGTGTTCCTATATCTAACAAATTCTGTCAGTCTTACCGGTTAAATAATAAAACAGAGTCCAACCTTATAAGCTTGCAATTAGTAATAACTACTTCTAACCCATGATTGGTCATTCACAAGACTGGCAGATAGGCAGGCAAACGCCCATTTCATTATGAATCGTCCCAACAGAGTAATTAGAAAGGACTCCATAAAGAGAAATGGAGATAATATTTTTTGTACTTTTATTGTAGATTGTAAAGATCCAACAGGGAAGGAAAATAGTCCACCTAAAACTATCAAAATGCCAATCAAATTGAGATATGTAAAATATGATGTCCATATGTAACTTACAGATTGGTTTCAACAGCAGCAGAAGATGGCTGTCAATGGTTATGGCAATGCCTTGTCACATCCAAAATCATCCTCCTATAATGATGTCTTCTTTCCTATTTATTTTCTGGAAACAAATTATACGTGCAAGAGGCTATAGGCCCTTCTATTCAGAGAGGGGCAAAAACAAAACGGAAAAAAAGTAGTTGCAGAATTCTCCAGCAGCCTATAAGCTCTTCTATATGTCGATCCAAGCTGAAGAACTTGAACTTATTGTCATGCGAACGATGCCATGAAATTGATTGGCATGATTCGACTTTTCAATGCTTTCGTTTGCCAACTTCACAACCTCCCTCTAGGAGAGGGATCAGACGTCGCAAGCTCTGAATACATCTGTGATATTGCTTTCTCAAAATACGCTTTTGCTTGCGGTCTCCTAATCTGCAAGTAAGAGAAGACTGTGAGTTGCTGCCAAGGCTTTTTTTGTTTTTTCCGCTCTACAGTTTTGACATGTTTAAAATGTTCTTAGATGTACACTTGCCTTAAATGTCGGAGTCAAAAGATCATTTTCTATCGTAAATGGTTCCGGCACTAGAGTCACAGCTTTTGCAAATTCAAAACCTCGGAGCTGCAAGAAAATTTGTCCGATCCATGGAGAGCTCAAGCAGAAAATTCAAAGCTATGAATACAATCTTTTGCCTTCAAGACATTACCTGAGCTTCCCTTCCAACAGCATCCATGACTGCAAGGACAGCGGCCCTTGCTCTTGGATCATTGCATAGTTGCTCCAAATTTTCATACTACACACAAATTGCCAGAGAACCATTAGCAAGTTCCTAGTGTACATGCCTTAATGCCTTACAAGTATATACAAATTGCCAGAGAACATTTTATATACAAATTCTGACTTGCAAGTATAATGTTCCTACCTTAATGCCTTCAGAGTCTGCCCATGCTTGCAATGCACCGTGGTCCACTGAAACAATGGCTACCAAAGAGGAGTTCAGGCTGTCCCCTGCAAATATAAACATAAAAATTTAGCAGGCAAAGTGAAGACAGAGAGAAAGAAAAAGAACCATAATTAAAAATTCATTTGCCTACCATACACAAAACACTGAGCAATGAATTTGCATTTGGCATATACATTCTCAATTTTCTCTGGAGCTATGTACTCTCCCTGTGCCAGTTTAAAAATGTTCTTCTTCCTGAACCAACATACAAGTATTTCCATTCAAATTTTAAAGCCACATATGCTCCAAAGCATAAGCACCAAACTCCAAACCAAAAAATTATTGAATAAATAAATATAGCTTCTTTGACATTTGCCCTCCATTGGGATGTTGCCTAAAATTCCACAGTTACCTCAATTTTAAAATATTTGGATCTTAAACTAAGATAACAAGTAGTCTTTGTCTTTTCCAGAAGCAAAAGTTAGATGCTTAAACTATAGCAAATAACTAAGACAACATGATCTATAAACTAGCTAGTTCTAAATAGTTAAAGGTCAATAGCAATCTTATGTACAATGCTAATGTATATGGGAATCTGGGGAGCGTGCCTTTGGTTCAATATTAATTATTAATTCAAAGAAAGACAATTACTTAGAGACAAAATTTCACCTATCGATAATCTTTAGACGACCTCCAGGTAACCATAATCCTATATCTCCAGTATGAAGCCACCCATCTTCATCAATTGCTTCTCTCCTGCACAACATAATTATGTAAACAGTTTTGCTCAGCGCATGGCCAACTCAACAGCAAAACGAACAGGCGACAGGTAAGGTAAGTACGTTTGTGCTTCATCTTTATGATAGCCTTGGAAAATAACAGGACCCCTTATACAGATTTCACCACGAGCATAAGGCTGATCATCAGATGTATAGTTCATTTCTGGAACATCCACGAGCTTTATTTCTGAAACAGAAGTATAAATTATATAATAACCTTATCCCAAAGCAGCATCATTAATTCACAAGAAACACAACTTCACAGGTATGTAACACCACATAACTCACCGCAGGCCGGATTAGGAGAGCCAACATGGCCGGTTAGGTTGTCACCCTCATCCATGGAACTCACAGCACAAGAAGTTTCAGTCATGCCATATCCTTCGGTTACTCGACCACCAAAGCAGCTGCAAAGCAATACAGAAAGTATCACAAAATCAGAAAGCAAAATAAAACTGCATCCAAGTAATATTCAATATGCTAAAATCTATCAACTTACATTTTCAGGAACTCCAAGACATCAGGAGACAAGGGTGAAGCACCTGATAGCATGAAACGAATTCGCCCACCAAGTCTTTCCCTTATCTTATTGAACACCAACCTGTCCCACATTGGAGATGGACTCTTGCCTGTAAAAATTGTACATGTGGTACAACCATTAAGCATCTAAGAAGCAAGCAAGAGATTCACATTTGATAATAATCATTATCAAGCTCCAAAATTATAACATTTGAAATCCACTTTCTGATGCTGAACCTGAAGTTACTTATGATACAGCATGACGCGAAACTTTTTGAGTTATCAACCATTTCAGAGATGTCATCCTTATGTTATAAGTTGCTCTAGCTTAGCCAACAACTATCTTGAAGTTTAAATCATAAAATAAAACTGAATCAGTAAATATGGATTGAACTTGCTTTTTCTTTTGTGAGGTTGAATTTTCCTTGACCAAGCGAGCCAGGTTCAAATCTTTTACATCCCCATTTTGGTTAATTACTTTCCAACACAAGGTAATGATGGGCAAGCATTCACATATTGAAGCCCCATTGGTTTCACATGGGTATTAGAGATATAAAATCTGTTTATATGAACCCTCACCAACAGCAAAAAGTTCAAGTGTTAGTGCAGCCAATAGTGAGACGCATATGCACATGCCTATTAAATGTTTGCCTGGCTTAATTGTTTCCAGTGTAAATGAAAAAATTTAATCTTCTAGAGCAGTAATTGATCAACTACTTCATTCTCAGCCTTCAGAATTCACCTTCAAATACAAATGACAGAGAAATTTGTCTTTTGCCTCACAAGATTTTTCTGTAAATTTATAAATTCTGGAATGTCTGTCCTCATTACAGGTCAACATAATCTTATACCTATCAGAATTTTGAAAGCGTCCGCCAGAAATCACAGAATAGTATAGCGATGAATGAAATTTTCACCATGTTGATACAAATATTATTGACTAGAAATGAAAAGCTCACAGTAGAAAGTAACAGAAGCCCCATAAACTATTCTCTACCATTCAAAATTGCTTGCTTCTTAGCATTGTAGGCAGCATTGAATAACCTCTCCTTTAATGGACCAGAAGTCTTTACAGCACTAGTGATACTGTAACAAATGTATATAATCAATTAACACAAAACCACAACAGTTGCGACAAATTAGAAAAATTCAGCAGCAGCGGATAGTAAATTCACCTAGTATATAGTCTATTATACAGCCGAGGAACACTGCAGAAGATAGTGGGTCTTAAAGTAGCCATATCATCCATCAGTTTCATATTATCCTGCATGCATAGGTTAGAAGCCTTATTTATTGCTCAGGAATAGAAACCAAATTTGATGCATGAAAAAACTATGTTTTCTACTTTGCAGTTATTGACAATGCATGGTTGAATTCATTTGGATCAGAATGATTACGTTTCCAGTATGAAAACATTGGATATACAAGAACTTCTACAGTGAGTGCATAACTGCTGAAGATAGTCAACAGCAGACGAAGTGGATTTTCCTATGACTCAAATGCACATACATTGTGGGATGACCAAGCATCATTTGAATGCAAATCAGCATATGTAGCAGCATGATATTGATCATATATATAAAAAAAAAAAAAAAAAAAAAAAAAAAAATAGTCCAGTACAGCAGACGAAGTTGATTTTCCCTATGAGCTCCAAATGCACATACCATTGTGGGATGACCAACGCATCATTTGCATGCAAATCAGCATATGTACGCAGCATGATATCGATCATCAACATATTACCTAGAACATAAAAAAAAAAAAAAAAAAAAAAGCACCACAAATCAAAATTCCAAGAAAACAAAAAAAAAAAAAAAAAAAAAAAAAAAAAAGCAACCACAATACAAATCCAAGAAACAAACAGAGAAAAATTTAATTCAATAACATACTCCTTGGTAAAATCCAACAGCAACTCCGTAATATATTGACAAGATCTGATGTGCTCGTTCAAAAATATGTGCCAAAGGCAAGTATGATATACAACTGCAAAATCACAAGTAATTCAGCCAAGCGGTTATCATGTATGTGATAGCCAAAGCTATAGTACTCACACATCCGATGGATGATATTTATTAGTAATAGTGGCCCCAGCAACATTTGCTATCAAGTTTCCATGGGTCAATACAACTCCCTTGCATAGTTCAACAATAATAAAATTGTATATTAGTTGCAATAAGCAGTAAAATCAATTCCAAAAACTTCTCTAGCTTCAAAATCGAAAGGTTGAAATTTATGGAAGAATCATACCTTTGGTGTCCCAGTAGTACCACTTGTATAGCAAATTGTAGCAACATCTTCAGGTTTTGGTGGGGAAAAAGGGTGAGGATTACTGTGGCCCTAAAAGCAAGCCATTCGCGTGACAAATAATTATGTTAATGATAAAAAGTGAAAAAAAAAATTTGAAAAACCTAAGCTTCTCTAATATCACAGGCTTAGAAGCAACTTGATTTATTTTAGAAAAATAACACCAAAAAATGGCACTTGATCTACAACGAAGGTAATTGGAGTTCACCCAAATCAAGATAAAGGAATATGAACAAATCCACAAGCATTCATGCATGTGTAAACTACTTAAATACTTTGAGCTTCAAGGAATGTGGTCTAACAGACATCAATAATTTACATGAATAGCTTCAAGTCCCAATGTGATCAAGTTATTGCCCTAGCCCAGCTTCCTGCACTTTTTTATGGGCCCCAACAAGTTAATGTTCATTGTAGACAGCTGCCAACTAGCTGTCTAAAAAGAAGATTAAACACCAATGAATGGGATCTTGCAAATATAGAGAGAGAGGAGAAATCACATGCTCTAATATCTTGTATTTTTCAAGTAGTGGTTATATAATTTAATGATAAGTATCATTTCATGCATGTCACTGGAAACAATTAAGGATGTCATGTGACGATAAGGGATGTATAGTTACCTGACTAAGTAGTTTTGAGTATGTTAGAACCTCAATTTTACTTGATGGAGGAAGAGATGGCATTTGATCATCCATCCCTCCAACAACCTGTTTAACAGGAAAAACAAATGAGAACAGTCAAAATCAAACTTGGCTCTATATATGGAAAACAACCCATCAGATTTATTTCCATTCTATGAGTTTAACATACCACAATTAGACGGACAGTTGAAATTTCAGACAAGAAGCTCAGCAACTGCAAAATTCCAACCATGTAGCAATAATCAGAACTCAGAAGGATTTACTTTCATAAATATATAAAAATGCAAAAGATGAAATAGGAAAACAATGAGTAGTGAAGGCGAGCAATAATTTAACATGTATACATTAAAGGGATGATACTAAGAAGCTGCAATGTTAAATCTGTAAATGACTGCGGCAATTCCACATTGATGAAAGGTTAAGAATGTCTTATTATATTTGTTTGGACTATGCACAATGAACAACCCCCCCCTCTTATTATATTTGTTTGGGACTATGACAATGAACAACCCCCCCCCCCCACCCCCCCCACCCCCCCTCCCCCCCCCCAACACAAAAAAAAAATTGGAACGAAAAAAAAGAGGAAACAGAGAGAGAGAGAGAGAGAAGGAAAGAACTAAAAGGGGAACACAAAAAAAAAAATGGAAGAAAAAAAAGAGGAAACAGAGAGAGAGAGAGAGAGAAGGAAAGAACTAAAAAAAGGAGTGTAAATTAGGAAGAAATGGAAAGAATAATTGTGATGAAGGTTCAACCAGCACTTTGGGGGGTACAGATTTAATTCTATATCAATGCAACAAAGTTTAGAACCCCGAAAAGAAATAATATTATATCTTCAAGGCCACTAAGAAGGGTACAGATTTAACTCACTATTGTCAAAGTTTGCGGGACACAAAATATAGCTTGCACTTCAGCATGATTTACAACAAACTTGACAGCGTCTGGACCTGCAGAGTAGACAACTGTTGATTTTAAGGTCCAAAGAAGCAAGCAAAGATCAACTAATGTTCTTGTTTATCTATCGACAGACCAAGAGTGTCATATAGAGGAACTGATATAAGAGAGTATGCTGAGCAGGCATGATCAACAATGAGCCATTCTGGTCTGTTGATAAAGTATAGTCCAATAGAAGATCCCTGCAATATTCAATTCAATAATAATCAGGAGTCACGAAGGATCAACTAAGAACACCAGTCAGATATTTGTATGTAGAATACAAATATATATATATAAAGAAAAGAATTAAACCAACAACAGCTACGTTTGATCATTATATATATATATATATATATAAAAAGGAAAAAATAAAACAAGGTTAGATGGAGCTTATTTTAGCATATAATTGATGTTTGGATACTCGCCTTTGGAATTCCATGATACATTAGGCCAGAACCTATTGCCGTTCGTGCAGTACCTGCTTCTCCATATGTCATCCATTTATACCTACAATCTAAATGGATAAGTTAACTTAATACCAAATTATGAACTTCATTTAGCTAACAGGAGACTTACTCTCCAATTGTTCCATCAACCCGAATTCGTGTACCCAGATATTTGTAATCCCTAAAAGCATCAACTGATCGCCTACAGTCACAATGTGGGGGAAACCATTACTGTATGAAGACTAAACAGAGGTAACTGAATGCTCTACATACAACAGAAACAATTGTAGTTGACATTGAGGAACTTCAAACATAAATAAATCGAGCAAAGGAAGGATTCTTACACAAAATTATCATGCAATGTACCAATATCAGGATGCTCTGGAAATCTGCTCACCAGCTTCAATGGAGAATGGGCAGACCTGCCACAACAAATTAATAAAATAAAGAACAGTTTAAAGGACCTAACGAGTGTTCCCAGAAATTTCAGGAATTATTGTTAATACCTACCTGTATACGTTCCATTTTCCTGCATGTAATTTCTCTGGAAGCACAACACTATAGCCCTGCTCTGCTCAGAGTGCAATGCCAGAATTAATTATACTAATCCAGGATATTCAGAAGAAAAACATGACAGGAAACAAGAAAAGTACACAAACAGAAGATACGCAGAACCAATCAGGCTGAAATACATTGATTATTAGATTATAAACATGATCAAATGAAAATACACTTGATTACGCGATTGGCTCGCCTACGTCCAATCTAATGTGTGGATCCTAAAAGCTAAAGCAGTCTAAGAGTTATTCCTTGGTTCCTTACTAAGGGTAATATCTTAATTCTATCCTAGCATGCATGCTAATAAAACAATAAGTGCAGAAACATAAAAAGAAAGTTCACATTTTGGCCCCTAAGGCCCAAAAATTCCCAATTTGGTCCCAAAAGCCCAAAAAATGCCCAATTTGGCCACAAAGGCCCAAAAGTTCACATTTTGACCCGTAAGGCCCAAAAATTCCCAATTTGGCCCCAAAGGCCCAAAAATGCCCAATTTAGCCACAAAGGCCCAAAAGTTCACATTTTGGCCCCTAAGGCTCACACAAAATAAGACACATAAAAAGGTTTAAAATACATTGTTGTTTCTAGAACAGAAAAAGACTACCAGGAGAAGAAAACTCGTCAGCTTGTGGGGTTGAGAATGGAGGAGAGAAAGGAGAATCACCAAAGCGGCGTATTAAAATGGCCTTGAAATGGCTTTCAATACGACGTTTTAGCTTGAGTCCCCATAATCTCTCACTTTCCAGATGTTTTGCAAGCAGCGCAGAAAAAAAACCAAAGCGGCAGTTCTCGAAGAAATAATCTGTTTTCTGTTTGTTTTTCCGGGGAATCCCAAAATGCCTAATGATAGGAAGATAACGAAGAAAAAGAGAAGGAAAATGAGGCACGCTTTTTAAGGATGGTGATGGAATACTCCCTGAAAATAAGTTTTTGACCCATTCGTTTATGAGGCGAAACCAACTCAATATCCATTTTTGGATAACTTGTGTAACAGTGCGCGGCATCATGCATAAGGCAAATCACTTGGTCGCCACGAAAGATGAGAAGACATTCATCGACGCGATCGCTTACCAGTTATAATGCGTTTCGGAAATTCAGAAAGTAATCCTCAGTTTAATACTTTGTTTGTAAGTTTAGACATGATGGAAAGATCTTTAAAAATGAAAAGCACTGGAGCAGCTTTTAAAGCATTTCCGCTGTGAAAAAATACATTTCTATTATCCATATTAAGTGGTAACATAGGAAGTATTTGATGAAACATCACTTCTCTTTTAATGTTTGATCATGATCGATATGATGAAGAGTGGTAAATGAATTTAACTATATACAGAGGATAATACCAACACAAATACAGTAATTTTATAGTGGATTTTGTGGACTCCAATTGTTTTTTTGTATCAGGATACACCAATTCTCACTGGAAAACAATTTGAGAATGAATTTATCCAAAACAGAGTTTTATAAACTTTATTTATCAACTAATTGATAAAAAAATAATAGTTAATAATTTTTTAGGGGTGAAATTAGTGGTAGAGAAATTGAGATGTCCCTGTATCAATCGTAAGTGTTTTTCATCGTTAGATTAATACAATTTAAATATAAATCTATAGATTTAAAAAATTAAAAATGAACATTTACTTTTAAACGGGTTTGTATTCATTTTTTTTAGAAAAATAAAAATTAACTTACATTTTTTTAATTTATTAATTAATTATTTTTTTGATTCCAAAAAGACATTTACTTTTTTATCAATTATTTTTTAATAAAATAAGAAGAATAAAATTAATTATAAAAACAAATTAAAAGTTTCAATACCCATATACAATTTTATCATGTATTAGATTTAAATTATTTAAATATTAATTTTTACATTTAAAATTTCATTTAAACCTTTTTAAACAGTGAAAACGAGTCAAACTTCAAGATCTTAATTCATACTTTAAAATAAATTTATTAAAATTTAACAACAATTATTTTGCTTTCTTTTGTTTTTTATAATGCCAAATTTACTTTAGATTTAAGAAAAGTTGCATAATTCTAAAATTTCAATTAACTTTTAAATATTTTATATATATATATATATATAAACCATAATATTCTATGATAATATTCTAATGATATTTAATATAAATTTTTTAATCATCCTATCCTTAAAGTGAAATTGATTTTACATATTTTCATGGGAGATTATATAATTTTTAAAGGTATTTGATAGTCCTGATTTTTAATATTTTATAATAAAATCGCAATAAATATATATATTATAATATATATATGGTGTGAATGAATAATGAATTTAGACATATATGGGTGCTTTTAAAGATACAAAGAAATTATTTGGGAGATTATATAATTTTAAGGTATTTGATAGTCTGATTTTTAATATTTATATAAATCGCAATAATATATATATATATATATATATGTGTGAATGAATAATGAATTTAGACATATATGGGTGCTTTTAAAGATACAAAGAAATTATTTAAAAAAATGTAAAAGAAATAGTAAAAAATAAAAGACCTATTTAATAGATAACCAATATTATAGTAAATTGAAATAAACGATGCGTCGCTCAAATGTAGTTCTATATTAATACAGAATTTATTAATTCTTTACTGTAGTAAAAGCCATGTTTTTACGACGAGTAGATTTCTAACGATTTATTGAAGAAAATAGAAACCTTTATTGTAAGTTTTCTCTAAAGAATACGTGGCCAATATTGCCATTTAGTTTTTACATTGGAATTTTTCAAAAATTATTAAATTAAAAAAAATCATTTGAAGCATATTTTAAATTCACGAGATGAAGTACAATCACTTTGTTAAAAAAAGAAAAAAAAAAAAAAAACAAAATTGCATCCTCAAATAAACTTAAGACTAATCGTTTGAGCCTTTATTAAAATAATAAAATAAAATAAGTTATCCACGGACAGTAACTTTTCATGCTCCTTTTTATTAGTGAGTATTATTTTCTTTCCATAAGAATTTTCTTTCATTTATTAATTATATTCTGAAAAAGACATATGTATTCTCGTACTTGATTTTATATTTTCATATTCAAATAATTCCAATTTTATTAAAACGCTGCACGTTCTTAACAGTTTCAATTAGTTATAAATTTCACTTAATTATTTGAAAATAAAATTTTAAAATATTTTTTTCCCAGAAAAACTCAACCTATATTTCAATTTTCCAAAGACACTTCAATTGAAACGCTTCATCCCTGATGTCATTTACAAGAAAAAAAAAAAAAAAAACATGAATCCGCAAAGCTTATGCAGAAAATGCCAACATGTTTCTTGCAGCTTTCCTTCCTTTCGTCCCAAACATTTTGTTCCATCAATAAATGGGGTAAAATTCTAAGATTTCACTCCAAAAAAGATAAAAGAAAAAAGAAATAACCATTGACATATAGACATTACCAATTATTCTCTTTTTTAGAAGATCAGTAGTATTCAAGCCATAGAAGCATGCTTCTTATCTATTAAATTAAAGCTTTACCAGCCTGAAGCACTTCTTCTCTTCGAATCGGGTTTTCCTTACAACACCACACCCTTTTCCCTAGTGGTGAGGAATCGAAATAAGAAAATGGAAAACAAATGACATTTCGTGTGTGTGTACATATCCGAAATCCAATTATTACAAAGATTAGAGAGATTTATATTGGCATTTTTCGCGCATAGCCACACTAAGATTATGACTGAATCGATCAGACATCGCCAAGTGCAACTTGGGACTGATTGTGTTCATGCATGTCTTTCCTCTTTCTAAATTCAGACGGAAAAGAATTTTAAGATCTAGGGCTTCCCTAAATCTGTATCCAACCATGCAAAGGCATATGAGCTTCCTTATATCCTCATCGCATCATGCAAAGGAAGAGATATATATATACATATATTTCGACCCACATCTACGAGTAAACAGATTCAAACCACGGACAGCACCATGAAATTAAAATATACACAGCCATATTCCGTGCGGACAGCACTTTTACTAGCCACTCAATATATTTCTCAATAGCCAATTTAGACTTCTCAGATAGATTCTAGAATATCTTCTCTCTCTCACTCGAGCATTTTCACATTAGAAAATACCGTCAATTATCTTTGCTACAATATGAAAACACGTATATCCTGATTTGAATATTTACCAACAAGACATGGACTGTATCATCAACCCGAAAGCCTCCAAAGTAGTATTGTCTTATTAGAAGAGCTCCATCAACTGCTGGGCCACATCTGCATCACGCAGTCACATAATATTGAGGAATTAGCAAAAATAATCATTGGTCAAACCTAATATATAATTTCCATAACCTAAAAGAAACCTGAAACAAAAAATTAACTGCAAAAGCCAAATGATGTCCAATTTTTTTAAACCAATACATGACTTTTGTCTTTCAAAGACGAAGGGTGTTTCAGCAATCCTGACTGATCGATTGATTGATTCTGTTAATGAAAAGTATGCATAGATACCTTGGATAATGGCTGGTGTTGTTTGAAACTCCTGCCACATATTTTGGTAGGAAGCCAGATCCAAATTCAGAAACCTGGCAGCAAGGTAGGCAGCACCAGCAGCTATATGATGAGGTTTAAACTGAAGCCACAGTGAGCTCCGAAGCCTACAAAACAAAAAGAATACTTTTAAGTTCTGTGCCAAAATCACCATTGTTAAGCAAATGATAGATGCATAATACTGAAACCAACCAGATTGGCGAAATTAATATGAACAGGCAATATCTTCAACTTAACATATATTCCGACATTGACAGAAGTCACACCAGCGGTAAGAGTAAAAGAGATAAATATACAACAATAAAACCAAGCATTAGATTCAAAGTTAGAAAGTAAAGCAAGTCATTTCTCTTACCAACCAAAAATGCAGCAACCCAGGAAGAATAGTTTGCAAGAATCTGTGCAGGATAGCTGATAGAGTAGCAAACTATAACAAACAAGTTACACTCATCTACAAACACATCTACTCCCAGGCCCAATTCTGCTGCAGGGGCTTTTTAACTCCACAGACATACACAATTCTAGTAAGAAACAAACAGAAACTAAGTGGACGTTTCAAACAATTAACTGCTTAGACCAGTCATCTGCATCTTCCGCCCAACAACTTGATCGTGGAAAGGCCCGTCAAAAACACATGCATAAATGCTCATGAAGCAACCATCAAACCCCAATTATAGGATACCACCATCCCAAATCCTCTAGCAGGTGCAAGAAAAAGCTACAAGTAACATGTATATTCACAAGACTAAAAAGATGAGGTATATTTGATACACATCCTGAAGCTAGAATAACACACACACACCCAACCACCAATGATAACAAGCGAGTTCTAAGCTTCGGCTGAAATATGAGAATGAAGTCATACAGTGTTATTTCAAAGCTATAACTCATAGCTAAAAGAATAAAGTGATTCTGGTAATGAATACACATGCAATAAGATTGTATCTCAAGTAGGATAAATTGTAGAGCAATTTCTTAGACAACTTGCAAGATGAAAAAAAGCAAAGGCACAATAAACTTATGAAAGCAATAGGTTGAGAAACTGAACTAACACAAAAGAAACATCCATGATATAATAGCAACATAATGCAACTGGCAAAAAAAGAAAAAGAGATCACCTACTAATCTTGTTATTATGTGACCATTAATCAAATATGTTTGTTTTCTCCATATTTTTTATTATTATTTCATGGCCTTTTCTATCACGAAGGATGGTAGGGATAGACAGAAAAAGTTTAGTACTTCACATTGTCCACATACAAGGTACATGAAATCCTACAATAATAAGCAGGTTTCTGGTAAATGTGCCACCCGGGAAACCAAACACACAATTTAAGTGAAGGAGAGATGTGGGGAGATAACATTGCTAATATCAAGTTGCTATATAAAAAAAATACAAATGCTACATAAGCTTCAAATACTTGTTTGTAGGCTTGCACCATCCTCAAGCACTAACCAGGAAAATTTGTCAAAGTAACACAGATAAAAGAGGTTAGAAAAAGAGCGCATAATTAGGAGAAATCAAAAAATTAACTAAAAATCTTTAATCTGAGGATTCAAAAAAAAAAAAAAAAAAAAAACTTTTGCACCTCCCTCAGCACTAACCAGGAAAAATTTGTCAAAGTAACACAGAAATAAAAGAGGTTAAGAAAAAGAAGCGGCAATAATTAGGAGAAATCAAAAAAATTAAACCTAAAAAATCTTTTTAATCTGAGGGATTCCAAAAAAAAAAAAAAAAAAAAAAAAAAAAAAAAAAAAGGAAATAGGAAAGAAAATGCCAATTATGTATGGTCTAGTTGGTCTCATCATTCCTTAGAAGTGAGAGTTATTTGGTCGAAGTCTCCCATCAACGGTTTTTTACCAATTTGGTAAGATTTATTAAAAGAAGAAAGCTATCCCTGTAGTGTAGCTCACAATGAAATTCCAATCCATTTGCCCTTTAATGAATCTTAAAGAACAAAGGAGAAATAAAATAATGGTCTTAACTGCTAGGGTTAGCTCAATTAAAAATAATATAAGAGACACCACAGTTTAAGAAAATGAAAATATCACATGCTTACCTCCAACAATATGATTATTAGGTCATTAATGTAGATTGTATGCTTTGCTCTTTTAGAAGTTCACTTATAGGCTCTTTTAGGAGTTCACTTTTATATATATATAGATATAATATATATATATATATATATAGTTATATTTTTCTCCTACGTATCTCAATGAAGTTTTTCCTTTATATATATATTTTTCCCTAGTATCTCAATGAAGGTTTTTCCTTCATGCAGATTCTTTGTTTAAAAAAAATGCTGTTTTATGCAGGTACTTTAATCAAGAGGACAAAATTAAGCAGAAGGTGCAATTGGTGTTCCCTTTTGATAATATAACAGATATACTTTCATAATTGGTGAAATAAGTGATGGCAAAAAGCAAAGAAAGGAAACCAAATTAATAACAGAGAAAAGGAGAACATTTGTTCATGTATATAATATATAGTATATATGTTTATATGGATGTAGATATTAATTAAGATTAAGAAATAAGGAACTAATATATATATATATAGATATGTTTACATGTGCATAGATATTAATTAAGATTAAGTAGAAACTAAAATTTTAAAGTTTAAACCAAAGATAGGTCACCTATGCCCTCAAATCCAGTACTGGAAGTCCACAAAATGGAATGGGCATGGTACCATATGATTGTTCCCTACAAAAAATTGAGAAGTAGAAACTACCACAGGAAGTCATCTAGGTACACAAGTACCATATATAAGCAGGAACAACTAAAGAACCCATCCATATGAGGGCCTTAAATAAATAGATGGACGTGTATCCCCAATCCCCATATAGCCATATACTGACCAACTTTTCATCTGGACCATCCCAAATAACAGATCCATGCCAAACATACTATGCAGCTGCACAACCTGTTGACAATCATGTCTCAAATGAAATAGTTGTTGATAAATGGTTGAAATTTCCTTTGGTATAAAACTACTGTTGATAAACAAAGTTGACTAAAAAATCGCATTGTTCTATAAAAGATTTTGAAAGTACAGCTGCAACTGCAAACATACCTGAAATTGTATTACAATAAAACTTACAATTATACACACATGTTAGAAACACAACTGGCACAGATCCTTTACGGATATGTCTGCTAAAAAATAATTGAGGGGAGCAAAAGAGATCCTACAGAGTCTTTGATCTAAGCCAAGACAATGGAATTCCCCCAATCAGTGTGAAGTGATACCTGTGGGACATGTAACCATGTCTCACAAACTAGAAGTTTGTCTACAGAGGCCAGATGAATCATTCAAAAAAAAAAAAAAATTACGGAAAAAGGGGAAAAATTTTTGCAAAAATGGTTTTGGAGGTTCTGAGGCTATCTTTTGTGCAGATAACCAGGTTGATGGGGAATATAACCAGAGTTATGTGACCCACACATATCAGCAGTTCAACTTCAGAGGTTTAAAAAAAACTTTCCATGCACAGCATATCAATCCGCCGGCTAACAAGCACGTTAATCTTGTGTATACCCTGCAATTATATGCATTCCAAAAGAATCAATATCCCATTCCAGAATTACAGCTAGAGTAGGTGATCGAAAGAAGAAAATTATTGACACGACTATTACACAGTTTTACACCAAAAGTGTACAAGAAGAAACCCAGCACATCCTCCTCCATGGACCAAGTACCACGGAACCTCAACAAGTGTTCAAAGCTTGAGATTGAACACTCACCAGTGAAATCTACATTGAGACATAACAATAGCTGTAACAACATTTCCTAAACCCGAAACAGTATCTAAACTGAATTACTCTTCAGAAAATCCACATATAAATATGTTCACACAGAACCAAACCAAATTGCTTCCAGAAGAAAGAAGCTCCGATCAGAACCTTAGCATATTAGTTCAGTTTTGTCACTAAAACTAACTGATTACAAATGTAAAGCACCAGTAAAAAATCTAAGATCGAATGAAGTAATATAACAATGAAATGATAAGCTTACCCTTCACTGACCAAGTTTAATGCCAGATTCACCATAATAGTATGGGAAAACCCTAATTTGTCAAGGACAGAAGTAAGAGGGGCATATGGATGCTGCACGTTAAGTTCAAAATTTAGAGTTGTCAGTATCATTTGTTCAGCCTCAATCACACGCTCCCGGTACTGTTCAAACCAATCCTGTATAATGCAATTCATCTCATGTCAGCACCACTAGAAACTTAGCAGTTTTACTTTATCTTTTGAAGACAGCTCAAAAATTGAACAATGATAATACGTGATAAAAGGGGGAAAGGGTCTTAAATGGTTTGAACAACTATTGCAAGTGCAATTGCACAACTCATATGTATTTCCTTTTTTTTTTTTTTTTTTTTTTTTTTTACCGTGATAAAAGGGGGAAAGGGTCTTAAATGGTTTGAACCAACTAATTGCAAGTGCATTGCACAACTCATGATGTATTTCCTTTTTTTTTTTTTTTTTTTTTTTTTTTTTTGAAGCAACAATAGTTCTCAATCTGCGAATTTTTTGCAAAACAAGAGGAAACCCCTTTTTTTTAAAGTCATAAGGCAATTCTTTAATTTGGCCACATTCCAAAACCCCAGAGTTTTTTTTTTTTTTTTTTTTTTTTTTTTTTTGAGCAACAATAGTTCTCAATCTGAAATTTTTTGCAAAACAAGAGGAAACCCCTTTTTTAAGTCATAGGCAATTCTTTAATTGCCACATTCCAAAACCCAGAGTTTCCATTCATGAAAAAGTTCAAAATGGCATGCACGCTTTTTTTAGTGCTTTCTCTAGTAATTTTATCAAGGAAAAAACACATGCACTCGCACAAAGGCAAGAAATGACAACTCCTGTAAGATGGAAACTTACAACAGGAAGCAGGCATGATAAAAAAGTCATGTCTTGCTTGTGGAAAATCTCACAAGATGCTCTCAGTACATTGTTCAAAGGGCGTGGTGTCTCCTCAGACTTTGAAGCAAGAAAAAGAGCAGCAGTAGCAATTAACTGCAACAATGCAGACCATTCATGATGAGCACAATTGCTGTAACCAGGAACATGAAATATGATACACATGCATCTTGAACAAACACGCGAACCACAATACTAGCAAAGTCCAAACATTAAATTAGAAGCAAGAAAGAAGAGCTAATGAACTATTGATATTTGAACAAACAAGGACTTGAAAACTTACAAATCTGTCATAGCAAGCATGCGATCTTCGAACAAAAAACCGATGACACAAAACCATGGCAGTACCTATAGTGGTTTGTGGCCTGGAAGAATCAACATATAATTAGTGAATCAAATAAATTCTAGGAAATAAAATTAATAACCTAAGGCAATTAAACAGCTGTTTCCTTAGTAACTGTAGTTAAAATAGTGAAGGAATCCTTTTAACTCAGAAAGAAAGCAACATAATTAACAAAGACACTCAAGATGAAGCACTCACAACTCAAGCTGTAATCCAAGGTTCTGAAGGAATGCACAATAAGAATACCGCAAATGTGTTTCACGCAGTGCATCAATACCATCTTTTCTTGATGGCGAGTGTCTCTCAATCTCATCTCTTGACATAAACACTGGTTCATCATCTTCCAATTTTGAGCGGTCACGTTTGCAGCATGTAGATGTGGATGTCTCAGCATTTGACCGCATAGGAGGCACAGAATTATTGTAGGTTGAAGGAGCAGCTGCACTTTCATATGTAATGGGCTGTGCAAGATGCCTCCCACCATCTCCCCAGGAACCAGCACTAAATTTTCTCCTTTTCAATGATGGAGCACCATGAGAGGGGTTGTTGTAATTGTTGTTATTGTTGTTGTTGTTGTTGTTGTTGTTAATATGGTCTCTGAATTTGTCATGGAAATGATTATAATTCCAATTATGGTTATTGTTATTGTTCCTTTGTGTGTTCATACTTCGGTTCCTGTTATTGTAGTTGTTTCTATTGTGAGAGTGCCAACGATCATCATGGAGAGTGCCACCTTGTGAATGGTAACTCCGTGCAAAAGACATAGTTCCTGAAACATTATCCATATAACAAATAAAATATCAAGTATCAACAAGTTATAGAATGAAATGTAAATTAGACTTGTCCTACGAAGATGAAAGTAGTAGCTCATAATGCTGTGAAGCTGTTTTCTAGTCTCCAGGGTAGCCAAACCTCAAAGATGTCTATTTCTTGTAAAAAATTCATAAAATTTTTATCATTTTCGATACACAAACTGCGACATTATTAATTAGGAACTATATTGGCCAGTTGACCTACAAGGAAGCGGCAAAGCGGGCAAATTAAATAAGAAAAGCCCAAACTTTAAGTTTGGGTCACCAATAATTCAGACAGATGGATTTTTCATTTCTTCACATTCCAAACCAATCACTCATATTCACCATCTATCCAGAAAGAAAAAAAAAATCAGCGTAATTCCTCAATAAGCATAGAAGAATCTAATCAACTCCAATCGTAAAAATCCCAAAAAAAAAAATTATCCAACAGCCATACTATTTCAGTACAAATATCAGATCCTCCAAAAACATATCGACAAAACAAAGCATGCACCCATAATTCAAAGGCATAACGACTAGATTAGAGAATTAAAACCCTAGATGTAATCCAAATATTATAGACAACAAAAATTACCTGATAAGTTAGAAATTTAGATCTAAGCTCCGTGATTGAGGTAAAGATCAAAATTCCGAATGAGAATTTTCCCCTTTTTTTCTTCAAACTGAAACTGATGCGAGATTGTTACAAGGGTTTCAAATAAAGAAAAGAAAGCGTAAAGAGAGGAGAAAAGAAGAGAAACAGAGATGGCTACAAAAGAAAGAGACGTGAGAAAAAGAAGATGAATATTAAAAAAAAAAAAAAAATTTCTTTTTACTCTTTCTTATCCAAAAATTCGGTGGTTTCTCGTTCGGTGAGCTGTTGTTAGGTTTTTCTTCTTTTTCTTTTCCTCCTTTTTTTTTAAAAAATTTTTAGCTGCTTCGGTAAATTCCAATCCGCAATCGTATTTAATTTGCAACGACCACAGTAATTATTAGCTAACGTGCGCGGTATGCGTATCATGCCAGGCTACGGGCCCATTTGACTCCGGTTTGGACTTGGTCCAGGATGTACTAATGTCAAGAGTCTGTTGGGCCAGTGGTAAAGTGAAATCTTTCCCCTTCCTATACATGAGAAGGGAAACGATTTTCTTTTATTCACAAAAGAGAAGGAAAAGATTCCCTTCTCAATCCACCAGGAAACTTAGATAGTAACGTGTTAGAAACTTTTTAAACCTTTCTTAAACTTCTAGGAAGCACAAATATTATGGTCAGAAAGACATTTCCTTCTCCCGCCAAGTTTTCGTTGCTCTAGCCTGCTCTTAAATGGTCTTTTAACAATTTTTATTAATGTATAAGTTTTATCTTCAAATAAATTTAAATTGATTTCTTATTTCTATTGGGCTGAATTGCCCTTAAATGGGCCCTAATGTAATATGTAACGTAATATGTTATGTGCGCATATAAACTTATCAGATGGCAAAAAGGGGGGTGAGGCTGGGCCGCTGGGCCGTTGTTCTAGATCTTAATGTAATGGACTTAAACTTTTACCGTTATGAACTTCTTTTTTGGAAAACTTGCCCATAGTGCTCAGAGCCCAACCAAAAGCCATGCTGGGCTCCTAGGCCTACAATCTATGTTGGGCCCTCAAACTCAGGGTATTGACAAGGTTTAAAGCATAAAAATTTGTTGCACTCTCCAAAAATTACGTTTTTCAGATATCAAATTTGAATTATTACTCTTAAAGAGAATGAGGTAAAGCATTCAATATATTAAATCTAAAAAATAATACATTATTTCACCGAAAAACACTTATTTACACCTAATATATATGGATTTGCAGTATTATGGGTATCATATAGCAAACAAAGAAAGTTTTTCTTATCTCTTTTATATATATATATATATGTATATATTGCTTGACATGTTTTCCATATTTTCATATGAAAAACATAAAGGTACATTTTTTTTCACCAACAAAGAAGAAAAAGCTATGCACCATATGCATATAAATACTACAACTAGTATGTTTCTTTTAAAGTTTAGCGCATGATCTTTGCTTAGTTGTTTTGTTCCTGCGGAATTTGAATAATTGGTCTGGCGTTTTTAGCAGAAATCATAAGACTAGCTGTTCTTAATACCACCCACAAGGTTGCATCATGAAAGAGAGATCCGATATCAAAGATTATTATATATATATATGTAAAAGAAAGGTAATTAATTGTTAATTTTTTTAATTGCTTGGATAAATGTACTTAATGGTCCCTAAAAGCATGTAAAAGGCCAATCCTATCGCATTAACCATTGTTTTTTTTTTTTTACCGCCTTGAATAGCTTTTTTTTTTTTTTTTTTTTGAAACAAAATTGAAATTATGATCAAATGCTTAATCATCTTGAATTTAGACACTGTAGAAGGTCGTTCTTTTTTTTTTTTTTTTGAAACAAATGAAATTATTATCAAATGCTTAATCATCTTGAATTAGACACTGTAGAGAGGTCGTGGAAATAGCTTTCCTTGTAACTGGTTGTGCCATTGGTTTTAAGAATCTAATCCCGTTTAAAACTCTAATCCATGTTTTAATTAAATTCCGTACCATTACAACTTAAAAGAATAAATTTTCGTTATAAAATATGGTAGGCCGTGTTTTGGAAAATGGGATTAACCTTCAACCGTTTGCTTCCCTCTCACGTGACGGTGGATTGTTAGATCTTCATTATCGCTGCCTTCATTAAATAACAACTCAACTACGTGATTAGAACATATAATCCAAACAACATATATATAAAATAATAATAATAATCCCGTTTGATTTTATCATGATTCTACGAAACTTGTTTAGAATTTTTTTGTTTCTAAGACGAGAGAGGTTTGGAGAACGGTCTAAAATTGAAGAGATTATAGTGTTGAGAACGAGTGGTTCAATATTCTTCTACTTTAAGTGAAGTCGAATGTTTGATTTTCATGCACAGAGTAAATACTCACCGAAAATATTTTACCCTTTAATGAATCATTTCAGAGTAATCAGAATTTAATTCTAAGTGAGTAAGTTGAATATACCTATGGTTAAAACCAAAATAACCACTTTGTTGATAATTACTCTTCCAAAATAGACTAAGGTTGACCCATTTTAAATTCATGCATTGCCAACTCTATCCACATTTATGACACATATAGTGTATGGAGAGCCCAAAATAACTGTGTTATAATAATGGAACCCATTCTTCAAATTTTATCCGTAACCACTGATCATTGATCACCACCAATTACCGAATCCACAGGCTTTAATTAGAGCCGACCAGCTATATATATAGAACAGGAATTATAACTGGTTTTAAAAGAAGAAACAACAGAGGGAGATATATATAAATTGTGTTGAAGTTGGACTATTACAACTGTAATATGAGTCATCTAATACTGGCTACAGTGATCATACTAATTACAGCATTCTACTTTAAGGATGTTGTCCAAAATAATTAAGATAAATATAATGTTAATTCACTAATTAATTAGATAAAGAAAGTAAACTGCATTTTCAGGTGATTAGATAAGCGAAAGTTGATGAACTTAATTGATTTGCAAGATCAAAAACTTAAAGATTAAAATTCTCAATATTAAAAATGTTTATCTGAATATTAGCTCAGGTTGGTGTTATCATTTTCTCAATCCAAGATCCAACCCCACCTTTCACGTTTAGGGCACGTGACTCTTCACTGCACGTAATCACGCAAACACAGAAAGGAAGAGGGGTCAAGGATGAAAAGGACACACATGGAAAGAGACTAAACAAGTTCCCATGTGAGCTCTTCCCTCTCCTTAATTTGGATACCCAGATCCAGAAATTCTATACAAAACCAGTTAAATAATGTAGACCTCAAAAAAACATGGACCACAAGTGCTGGTGGCGCTTGTTTTACACTCTCCTTCATAGAGAGTGAGGTCAAACCAAAACAAAAACCCTCATTATACATTTCATATCTCATCAAATCATTATAAGAAGCATCCATCTTATCTCTCACTCAATTTTGTTCCTCAAAACCCACCATCTATCTCTATCTCTCCCTCTGTAGATAATATGTAACAGCAAAAATGGGGAGGAGAAGAGAGAAAGATTCGAGATCATCACAAACTTTACCTTCATCACCTTCTCATTCTTTCTCTTCCTCTTCTTCGTCAGATTTTGAGTTCACCATTTCTTTATCTCCTCGCAAATCCTCCACTGCTCTATGCCCAGCAGACGAGCTTTTCTACAAAGGGCAGCTTTTGCCTCTCCATCTCTCTCCTCGTATTTCTATGGTCCGCACACTTCTTTTAGCTTCTTCAAGCACTTCTTCCTCTTCGGACACCACCACCATCGCCTCTCGCGACTCCACCGGCAGTTCCAATGACTCCACGTCCTCGCTGTTCAGTAACGATCTCGTCTTGCTTGGTGAGTGTGACTCTTCTAGACCTAGTTCGGTCACTGAAGACGACGAGTTCAAGCGGCTTAATAACAATTATAGTCACTTGAATTCTCAGATCAAGAAAAGCAACAAATACTTCTCTTTATCAAGATTTTCTTCCGTTTTCAAGAAAGAACCCAAGAACCGTGAAAACGACGTGGTATCGAGTTCTTCAATGAAAAGAATGAGTAACACGGCAAAAGAGGTTATAAGAAAGTACTTCAAGAAAGTGAAGCCATTGTACGAGAAACTTTCACAAAAACAACAGCAAAAAATGGGAGTTGTAAATCCAATAATGTCATCAACAGCAACATTAAGCAGTAGTGTCTCTTTCTCTATTAAATCGGAGAGATCTGACGTCTCTATCAGGAATAATACAACGAAAGAAAGCAATGGGGGATTTTCTCACTCTTTCTCGGGAAACTTGAGGTATCCAAGAAGAAGAAGCTGCGTGTCGAGCTGCCCGTCTTCGATGCGGTCATCTCCAAGCCACTCTGGCGTGCTTTCTAGAAAAGGCGGGCTTATGGATTCAAGCACAACAAGTAGGGTTGGCGGTGGAGTATATTATGCAGATACTTCATCAATGGAGGAGTTGCAGAGTGCCATTCAAGGTGCAATCGCTCATTGCAAGAACTCCATGATGCAAAACAAGACTATGATCAGTAATGAAATCTAATTAATTAATTGTTAATCAATGAATCTTTGAGTTTAATTAACTGAAGAAAATTAAGCTAATTTACTTTTAATTAATCTTTTCAGAGACATGCATGGGTAAGATATTGGTTTTGTCTTTTTTAATCTTTTATTTATGTCTCTTGTGGTTGTAACTTGTAACGTGGAGGTAAAAGCTGCATGTGGAGTATTAATTAATTCTGTAACACCTTTTTAATTACTAGCTCGATAATATGTAATAACGGATTAATAACTTGTTAATTTTTACTACAGTATATATTTGTCGTTTTGTAGTTTGTTTTTGTAAGAAAGAGAATAGGGTTTAGCTCTTTGTGCTTGATATTTTGAAAAATGGGCATTAAATTATTTTAGAAAGATTGATATTTTAATTTAAAATAACTTTCATATTTTGGATTTTCCATAGCATATGGTTCAGAGGCCTGTATATATGATTTTGTCGTTTAAGAAAGAAGAATTAAATAAGTGGGGCCAGGAATCATCCATGTGCACAGGAGTAAATGAAGCTTTATTCAGGCTGGCCGGAATCTCTGATATAAGGGATAAGACGGTGCATTTATTATGCCATATATATATATTTTTTTCAAATTTTCCAAAATTTTAAAATTTGGATATAGAAAATATAACTAATAAATTAATTAAATGTGAAAATGTATATATGTGTTTGAATCCAAATCTGTTGGTACAACCCAAGTACGTGTGTATTATATATACTGCCTGCTAATTGCAAGCATTATAATTTTTTCCCAATATTAATAATTGGATTTTGATGAGCTACATAATTATTATATATCTTATTCATTTAATAAAATAATTGATTAATGCCTTGGTTTTCACTAGAATAAACCAAACTTTTTAGTGCTTGTGCATTAGAATTTTGTAATTTATTTGGCATTATTAAATTGAATTTAAGACTGAAAATTAGTTTTTTGAGATCAATTATTTGTTTTGTTATTCTTGAGGTTTTTATTTTTATATTGTAATTGTAACATGCCAAATTATCTATAATCTTTTTTTTTTTTAATTCATTAAAAACTTTTATAAACCGAATTAACACTACAGACTACACAATATGGGGTAACCCTGTAGTAGAAATGACTCGAACTCATGACCTTTCACTACTCATATAAATAAAAAGACCAATCAGACCACCATCTGATTGACATCTATAATCATCTTTAGTTACATATGATTATAATTAACATATATAAAATGTTACTTTTCCTTAATGACAGTATTACTACCAACATCCAACAAATCCTTAAAATCTTGCACACTAATGCATATCCTAGTGGTAAGTATATATACAACTTGTCAATAGATCCAGGTTTGAATTCTCCTCCCTCAATACTCGAAAAAAAATTTCTTAAAATTGAATTTATTAATAGAAAATTATGAATTACCAAAATCACAAATTTCATTCTTAGTACATGGGCTTGTCCATTTATAGTTAGTATCTAGAATGATTACATATTTATATATACTTACTTGTCAATCTCAAATTGGTTAATGTATATATAGCTTGCTACATCTGTGCTTAAAAATCAAGAACCATTATAATATTAAAATTAAAAAAATAAACATATCAACTCAATGCACTATTTTTTTTTAATTATACCGTAGGTGTTGGACCTATTTCATTAAATCTAATACTGCTCAAACTGGGTTAGATTCATAAAAGGAAAGTGCTCCCGATGAATATTTTCTCTATCACAGCTATCTCTAGTAATCTGTTATTTTTAGCTAATCTCAACTGGCCTAAATTTATATTTCATAACAATCATGAACATAAACCATAATGTATAACAATAATGGAACTATGTGTTCACATATAAATAACAAAAATTTTAACCTCTCGGATCTTTACACGTAGATACATATATTAACCACTCTGATTATATACGATCAAAGTTCTATCTTGTCTAAGTACATTGCAGAACATCCCGCCCCCTTTTTCACTATATTTGCAGATAAAGATGGTAAGAGGAGATTAATTTCCCGTAACATCAATTCTTGATATCAAGAATTGTTGTGCGGTGCCCACTCAGTGGGACCCACACTTTGTTGAAAATAAATAATGGTAGGTAATCAACCACACGTAGTTGAAAAGAAAAAAAAAAAAATACGGATCAAAGCTTCTATCTTGTCATAAGTACATTGCAGAACATCCCGCCCCCTTTTTTCACTATATTTGCAGAAAAAAAAGATTGGTAAGAGGAGATTTAATTTCCCGTAACATTCAATTCTGATATCAAGAAAATTGTTGTTAGCGGTGCCCACTACAGTGGGACCCACACACTTGTTGAAAAATAAATAATTGGTAGGTAAATCAACCACACGTAGTGAAAAGAAAAAAAAAAAAAAAAGAAAGAAGAAAAATTTGGAGAAAAGTCTTTGGTAAGGTGATCTTGCCTGGTAGGAGATGCGTTTAATCACGCATCCATTCCTCTCCATCTAATTCAAGCTTCCACATCTCCTATTAAATAGGAGATGGTTGGCTAGAGCTTCAATGCACCAACACCGCAGAGCGAACAGAGTAAGATTGAGAGAGTTTTACAGTTTTAAATTGGGGTTCTAAAAACTTGGGCTTAGTTAATATAGTGGTTTGTAGGTTATGTTTTTGGAATTCTGTTTATTTTTCTTTATTTTGCTCTGATTTTGTCTAACCCTTTTGTATGATGACAAAAAGGGGGAGAACGCAGGTATTTTGATGGTACTTCGAATACTTTGGTACGTACTTGGTAACCAAAGTACTTATATCTTAGTGTTTATCTGTGTGTTCATATTTTCTAATATGTGTGTTTATTGTGTTCTATATGGTCTATTTTAGTGAGCTATATTTTCTATATGATAAGCTGAGTGTTTTTAGAACTTAGATTCTTATTCTAACGACTGTTCTGCAGGTTGGACATAAGATCTTTTATTCTAATCAGAGCCGAAGGCTTTACCAGAATCCGTGGATCATATTTATTTAAAAATAAATATACCACGACGATCGAGGAAAAATTACGCCGAGTCATTAGTGCAGTCCGATTTCGGAAAAGACGTCTAGCGAATCGACTTAGTGATGAATAGTAAAATAGTAACTCAAAGTTGATGGTGAACAGTACTATTGGCGTTACTGGTTGCTGAGTCCGTTTCAAGGTCAAGCCCAGCCACTATTCACGTTATAGTACTAATTTCACGTAGTACAGTTACTATTTTACGCATACAGGTACTGTTACCGTATACTGTTACTTTCAGTCATACGGTCACTATCACGTATTACTACTATTACACGTATACGGTTTTTTATTGGTGATTAATATTCTGCACAAGTCAAAATGGACGACAAGAACCAACAAGCACAATGGTTAGACTCAACTCATCAAACTATGCAGGTATGGAAGATATTAAATGGAAGATCTTCTATGCTTGCAAAGATCTCTTTATGCTGTAAAGATCTTTTTGAAACGATTGAGTTGAAAGGAGTCAGGCCAGCTTCAATAAATGGATTGGAAGTCGATTAACAGAAAAGTAGTCACAACCATCAGACAGTCTATTGAAATGAGTGTCATAAATCATATCGCTCATGAGAAAGATGCCTATTCAATTTGGAAGAAGTTGGAGGACATGTATGAGCGGAAGAATGCCCAGAACAAAGCTTTTTTAGTTAGAAAGCTTGTAAATCTAAAGTACAGAGATGGCGAAAGTGCTTTAGATCACTTGGGCAAATTCCAAGAAATAGTGAACCAACTTACGACATCAAAGAACGTCAAAGATAGTGTTTGACGACCAGGTGCAGGCACTATTCTTATTGAGTTCCTTGCCGGACAGTTGGGAGACACTGACTGTTACGCTCAGTAATGTATCGGAGGGGAATCTGACCTTAACCACAGTTAAGGAAAGCATTCTGAATGAAGAAACCAGACGGAAGGAGAATGGTACGAGTAGCAACTCAGATGCACTCGTTACAGTTACAGAAAGGAGGGGGAGAAGCAGAACAAGATACCCCCAAAATTCAGACAAACGTGACCATTCACGGAGAAGATCCAAGTCAAGAAAAGGAGTCACTTGCTATCATTGTGGCAAGCCCGGTCACGTCCAAAGGCACTGCAGAAAGTGGAAGCCAAGATACGAGCCAAAGAAAGTGATGAAGAAAAAGACGATACGGAGTTTAAAAGGCCTTTTTTTTTTCAGTAGCTATGATGCTGGACGCACTTTGGTGATGGTAGTGCGCTGATTTCTGACGCACTTGGTGATGGTAGTGCGCTGATTTCTCATGCTGGTCTCAGTGAGTGTTCCACTAGTCAACAATCTCTATGGATTATTGACTCTGCATGTTCTTATCATATTTCTTCAAAGAAGGAATATTTCTCTTCACTTACCCTCGGAGATTACGGCCATGTCAAGACTTTGAATGGCACTTATGTGGAAAATTGCGGCATTGGAACAGTATGCATCAAAACCAATGCTGGTTATGATCTCTGGTTGGAAGATGTAAGATACACTCCTACAGCAAACTTCAATCTGATCTCAGTTCATTGTCTTGATGAATTGGGATATGCAAATCTGTTTGTTAACAGAACGTGGAAGCTTTCCAAAGGTAACTTGGTGTTCGGTCGAGGAAGAAAGTTCAACACCCTCTACTACACCCAGGCAGTTTGCCACAGGAGTAGTGAATGCAGTTGAAGATTCATCTGCTGGTTATGGCACAAACGACTTGGGGCATAGTTGAGAAAGGAATTGGAGACTTCCTCACTAGAAGAAAATTGCTATTTTGAAAAGGTTTGCCTCTGAAAAATATGCACTGAATTTGTTTGTACTGGTTAAAACAACATAGAGTTTCCCTTTCAAAGATCTCCTTCTCCATCTAGAAAACCTGGTATTTCTAGAATTGGTTCTACACACTGATGTTTGCTCAATGGGGTGGACAAAATCTTGAGTGGCTGCTTATATTATGTTAGCTTTATTGATGACCATTCTAGGAAAGGTTGTGGGCTTTCCCAATAAAGTCAAAAGACCAGGGTGCTGGATATGTTTAAAGTCTTTCATGTCAGTGTTGAAAGACAAACGGGAAGAAAGCTAAAATGTGTTAGAGCTGGATAATGTGGTGAGTACAGAGGTCCATTTGAGAAGTATTGCTCGGAACATTGGCATCAGACTTCAGAAGACAGTTCCAAAACTCCACAGCCAGAATTGGAGTTGCAGAGAGAATGAACAGGACCATGTTGAAAAGCGGTTCGATTGCATGCTCTCTCATGCTAAACTTCCTAAAACCTTTTGGCCTGAAGCA